TGGAATAGGATAGAAGACACAGAGACAAACCTACATGCTTATAGCCACCTAATACTTAATAAAGGAACCCAAAATCTATTGGAGAAAAGATAGCCTTTGTTAACAAATGGTGCCAGGAAAACCAGTTATCTCCACGTGGAAGAGTGAAATGAGATTCCTGTCTTCCTCCCAGCAAGGAAGTCAAATCAAAATAGATTGAAGACTTAGGAATGAGACCAGAAAGCTTGCAAATGCTGATGAAACACAGGGCCATACTCCATCATAGAGATGCAGCACCGACTTCTTCAACAAGACTCCAGAATATCAAGAAATAAAACCAAGAATCAACACGTGGGGTGCCATCAAATTCAAAAGCTTCTGCACAGCAAAGGAAATGATTAAGACAGAGAAGAGAGGGCTGGGCTTGAGACTCAGAGGAAGAGTGCTTGCCTAACATGCATGAGGCACTGGGTTGGATCCTCAGCATCACAGAGAAAAAAATAAAATAAAGATATTGTGCCTACCTATAACTAAAAAATAAATACAAAAAGAAAGAAAGAAGGAGAAGAGAGCCTATGGATATATAATCTTTACCAGTTGTTCCTTGACAAGGGGTTAATATCCAGAATATATAAAGAACTCAAAAAACTCAATGCCAAAAAAGCAAATAACCCAATCACTAAAGCAAAGGAACTCAACAGAAATTTCTCAGAAGAAGAAACACAAGTGGTCTATAAATATATGAATAAACATTCAATGTCTCTAGCAATCAGAGAAACGTAAATCAAAACTGTTGGAGTCTGTAAACAAGTCAAAATAACACCTGGCATTTAGCCAGGGGAATGTTAGAGTCCGTAAACAAGTCTGGATGTGCCTGGCAAAATGCCAGAGGGAGTGGTTTGAGAAGTAACAAAAACAAGCCATTAAGTGTGGAGATTCCTTATTGGTTGACTGATGTATCTAGTTTATGCTAATTAGATAAGCTGTGTGGAATGTATAAATACTGCTCCTGTACTGCAATAAACGGCTCCTACTCCTGCTGTATCAAGTACACAAGTTGTTCGTCACCCCCCGGTTATTTTGCTGCAGCCGGACTGTGGCACAAAACTATACCAAGATTTCATCTCCAGTCAGAATGGCAGTTACCCAGAATATAAATAATAATAAATGTTGGTGAAGACGTGGGGTAAGGTACACTTATAACATCATTGGTGGGGCTGCACATTAGTTCAACTACTTTGGAGAACAATTGAATTTTCCTCAAAATAGTAAGAATGGAACCACCATATGACCCAGCCTATTCCCTCTTCTTGGTATTAATCCAAAAGAACTAAAATTGCCATACTACAGCAACACAGCCACTTCAATCTTTGTAGCAGAACAATTCACAATAACCAAATATGGAATCAACCTAGATGCCCGTCAGTAGATGAATGGATCAGAAATATGTGGTATATACAAAATGGAGTTTCACTGAGCCATAAATAAGAATGAAATTTTGGCATTTTCTGGTAAATGGATGGACATGGAGAAAATCATGCTAAGTGAAATAAGCCAGGCTCAGAAAGTCAAGGGTGGAATGCTTTCTGTCTTGTGGAAGCTGGAGCAAAATGAGGGAAAGGAGGGGGATGGGATTCCACAGAGATACAGGGGAGATCAGTGGAGTAGAAGGAGAGGGGGAGGGGGAGGGGCAAGAAAGGGGAAGAAATAAGGAATGAGTCTCACAGAATCATGTCTCACTCATACATAAATGTACCAAAGGGATTCCACCTTTATGTACATGCAGAAAGTGCCAGTCAGAAATAAATAAGTAAAGGAGTGAAAGGGAGATCAGTAGAGCAGAGGAGGAAGGGGGATTGAAATCAAATTCTTTGTGTGTCTAGTTGTGTCAAATGGAACCCAGATACTAGTGTAAATATAATTGTCTAATAAAAAATTGCATACTTGTGAAGTGATTTATACGATGGGATTTTCCTTTTTTTTTTTTGTACCAGGGATTGAACTCAGGGGCGCTAGACCACTGAGACACACCCCAGCCCTATTTTGTATTTTATTTATTTAGAGACAGGGTCTCACTGAGTTGCTTAGCATCTCACTTTTGCTGAGGCTGGCTTTGAACTTGCAATCTTCCTGCCTCAGCCTCCCGAGCTGCTGGGATGACAGGCACACGCCACCACGCTGGGCCACAGGATTTTCCTTTTTATTATACTTTGTATTTTTAATTAACACCTAACATTGCACATATTTCTGGGCTTCCCCATGATCAGTCAATGCCTGTGTACCAGGTGTAATGACCAATCAGAATAATTAGCATTCCTTGCCTCTTTGTGTTCGGGACCTTTAGCTCCTTGTAACCCTGTCCTATTAGGTGGAGTCAGATGGAGTGCAGGGCTAACTTCCCCTACGTTTAGGCAAACTTCCTGAAAACTCCATCCAACCTTAGGAGCCTCAGGAGGCTGACTCTGCAAGGTGGGAATAGGTGGTCTCCTCCAAGCGCACAGTCAGTCCTCAGCTGAGTCCCGGGCCCTCTGCTGGTCCTGTGCAGCCCCATCCTCCCCAGCACTCTGTCCTGGACTCTTTCTTGGTCCCTCAGCTGAGGCTGCTGTGCTCCGCCTGGGCTCCTCTCTGCACCGTGACTGGACTTGCTCCAGGTCCCAGGTCCCCCTGTCCGACCCTGAGCGGCTGTCATGATACGGCTCCTGGTAGTCACATAGCTTGAGCAAGAGAGAAATATTTATTGTCTTAAGCTGCTAAGATTTTAGGGTTGTTTGTTCCTGAAAAAATGAGCTACTTTACTCTGATGAAACAGAATCTTTCGAGAAAGGAGACATGGTGTGAGAAGACACTTGTGTGTGTGTGAAACAGACAGCACAGTGTGCAGGACAGTGCCGGCCCGTGAGGGCCACACAGGGGAGACGGCCTGGCCCCTGGTCGGTCCTGCCATTGCCTGATAACCCTCCCTGTGCAGGGAAATGCCCACACAATGCCCACACAGCCCTCCCTCCTGCAGCTCGCTCACAGCAGGGAGGACGGAGAGAAGACGGTGAGCTCCTGGGTAAATAGCCGAGCGTGCAGGCAGCCATCAGCGCAGGAACTGTGAGCTTCTAGAGGGTTCTGGAAGGCTGCTGAGTTTGGGCTGAGATTTGAGGGACAAGCAGCCATTCACCCAGGGGAAGGGAAGGTACAGAGCCAGGAGGTGGGCTGACCCAGCAGAGCCCAGGGCTGTGGAGGGGTCCTGGTGGGCTGCAGAGAGCACTCAGGACCCGGCATTCCCGAAGAGCCTCTCTGCAGCCCTAGGGCCTGCAGGACCTGGTGCTGCACGCAAGGCATTCGGGAATCTATCATCTGGCTCGGCGTGTAGGTGACAATACGGGACGCCTGCCTGTCCAAGGGTGGCTGAGGCAAAGCATGAAGCATCCTGGGGGGGGGAGGGGAAGCTGGACAGTCACTTATGAGGTTTCAGCTGACCACAGAACCAGGGGGTTCTGGAGGGTGCTAGAACTGGACACTTTCAGAAATGCTCAGGACATTAGTGTGGAAAGAAGGTGCAGGGTGACGCTGGCCTTGCACCCACAGGTGGACGACAGGGCTGGTGGCTGAGTGTGGGGATGGAGCACAGGGCCAAGACTGGGGCAGCAGGATGCAGAGTGAGATCGTCCCTTCCGAGAGTGGGCTGTATCCAACAGGGCTGTTCTCGGAGGCACCAGGGGGACACTGGTGCTCACAAAGGAGTGGCAGAGCCCAGGGCACGATGCTCCTGAGCAGCCTGTGGCTCTCGGAGTCAGCTCCTCCTCCCCTTATGACCGTGCTACCAGTCTGTGTCTAAAACTCAGAAGCAAGCAGCTCAAGCCTGGACCAAGCTCCGGGCTGCCGGGCGAGCGGCCACCAGCTCTCAGGAGACCTGACACCACACACAGTGGGAGGGAGCCAGTTCCCAGGTCCCCAGTGGAACTCCCACTGCCCAGGATGTATCTGAGATGCAGGGTGGGTCTGCGCAGCAGTGAGGGGCACTCTCCCTCTTGGTCCCCCTCCTTGTGGAGGGCACCAGCTGGGACGGGGCGCAGGCTGCAGGGTTGAGGCAGCCAGTTCATGCGGTGCCGGCTGCCTGCAGGTGGGGTCCCCGGGGACTGAGGGAATGGTCTCTGGTCAAGGAAGGGACACAGGCTTGGGTGGAAGGGTGGTCCCAGTCAACTCCTTATTCTGGAAACCCAGGACCACCTCTGGATAATTCTGCCAAGTGCACTGCCTCACCAGTGAGTTTGTTAGTCCCTGTCCTGATCTAGGGCCCCTCAGTGCCGGTGCACTTGTACCAGAAGTGGAGACGGTCAAGAGGAGCCGTGGCCCCACCAGCTCCCCTCTGGGCTCTGGCCCTGCTGTGTGGGGACGGCACTCACGGACTGGGGACTGGGACTGTTGTGCTTCCTCACCCCTCGGCTGGAGGCAGCGCAGGCTCTCCCTAGTCCAGGCCCCAAGCAGAGATGCAAGCTGCCGGTGGCCAGGGATGGACACACATCACTGGTTTCTCCCAGGAGGGTCTGAAAGCTCCCGGTGTGCAGAGCCCTGTGCGCGTGGTACACACAAGGAAGCGTCTTAATTGGCAGGCATCCAATGAGTGGATCCCATCTGCCAATGGGACAGCTGCCAGAAACCACCTAGAATTCCCACGGTGCCCCATCCCTCCTTCCCTAGAGGAAGGTAGACGCTGAGGTGCTTCAAAACTAAAAACATGGAACACGTAACTTAATATTGATCAACAGGACAGCAGGGCCACAGAAATGCCTTGGTTAGGGTCCCTTCTGCCTACGGATCTTTTTGTGCCCATTCTCCAAGCCAGGCTTCATAAGAGGCCACACGAGCTCTTGGGCGTCTCTTTCTGGAATCATGATGGCTCCTCAGTGAGCACCTCAGGACTTAGCTCTAAGCCATCTGGACACTTGTGGCCCAGGACTGGAGGAAAATTAAGATGTCACCCCTGGTGGGAGTCAGAACGTCACTGTGGGTGGCAGGCAGAGGGCTAGCAATGGAGAACACAGGTCACAGCACCTTTATTTATCATTATACAAATGATGTGACATGAAAGATACTCAGCATCTCAGGACAGTCAATGCCTTTTGAAACCCAACGAGAAGGTCAAGCATGCTGCCTTCAGCCGGGAGCCACGAGCCTCCGCCTGTGGACCCTGACAGTGGAACCAGGCAAGGCACTGGAATCTGCCCTCCGCCAACCCGCCCAGCGGTTCTGAGCTGGACACAGGGTGGGGCACGCGCACAGCACTTTCCTGAGAGAACACGTCACACGCTACAGCTGCGCCAGAGGCCGGGCCCCTCCTGCAGAGCACAGGACGCATGGCAGGCCGCGGACCCTGTGCTCTGCCTCCAAGAGGCAGGCCAGCTCCACCAGGTCACCGGTCAAACACATCCTCATGATTTAAGTTGTCACCACTGAGATGGGCAGCAGAGCTCGCTGGCCACATGGCCTCTTCCTGTGGAGACACCCCTGTGCACCCTGGGTCTCGTAAAGAGTCAAGCACTCTGGATAACAAGGGTGTAGGGGCAGAGCAGCGGCCCTTGAGGACTCTTTGGGCTGAGAAGGACCTTTTGTTCGCTATCCAGTTTCTTGTGAGATTCACAGCAATTGCTTTAGGACAACACGCTTGCTCAGACGTGACCCTATCAAGATCATGTGTCCACAGAAGCCCGGGAGACAGTCCGGCTGTGTGAGTGCCCACCCGCCACTCGGGGAGAAGCTGCCTCTGTGTTTCAGCAACAGTGGCAACGCCTGCGCCACATGACCTGAATCAGGTTCTTCAGAAACATCTGACACAACTCCTTTAAAAAAAAATAATAATAATCAGAACAATTGAGAAGGCCTTTCTTTCCCAGGAAGCAGGATGAGGGACAGGTGCCCGTGCAGGTCAGTCACCAGCCTTGCCTGCACAGGCTTTTCGCCAGGCTGTTCTGCCCTGGAGACTCTGCAAGCGCAGAGACTGGCACTAACGTTTAGAGAGAAAGCTCAGGAACCCTGGCTCTCCCGGCGAGTCCAGGGGCGGCTGGACGACTTGTGGCTGGAGAATGGAGAACAAGCCACCCTTGCCCAAGAGGGAAGCCACCTCACGTGAAGCAGTTCCTTATATATATAAATAACAAAAAATAACTACCATAAATTAAGAATTCAAACACTCTCCCACTGTGGAGTCTGCTGAGGCGAGACGGCACGCGTGGGCCCGGCAGGGTGGGGGCCAGGGCTGGGCATGCCCACCGGCTCCGGGCTCAGAGGGCACGTATTGCACAAAACCAGCTCCAGAGCCACCCTCAGAAGCTTGCTGCTGGGAATGACCTGAAGGCCCAGGAAAGCCCCATGCTGCCCAACATACCCTGCGCCCCAGAGCCAGGCTCTCCTGCCTCACTCAGCCACGGCCCAGTTACTGGGGTCCCTTCAGGTGGCCTCCCTGGTAACAGGAGGCAAGCTGACCCTCACAGGCAGTGCTGAAGACAGCAGGAGAGGAAACCAAGCTCCTCTCCCACGCCTGCATGTCCCACACTGCTGGCTGCACACAGCGGGTCAGCCAGCCAGGCCCTTCACCCCGGGTGGCACACGGGCGTGGCGTGTGTCCTACAGAGCTGGCTGTAAGAGCATTCCACGCATCTGCTGCTAGACTAACCTCGCCTGCCTCCACTCCCAGCTGCGGGCAGCCGAGTCCTCGGTGTTTCTGGAACACACACGCTTCCCTGTCCAGAGCCTGATCGCTCAACGTTTTTTTATAGGGAATGGGTCTTCGGACACATCCACCTTTGGAATTGAGGTTCACACAGAAAGAAAACATGGATTTCTTCCCTGTCCTTCTGTTCAGGGCTCTGACTGAGATTCAGCCACAATAAATACTTTTGGATGGCAGAGAATCCTGAGACGACTCCAAAGGAGCCTCTGGAAGTGAACTCTCCCACTGGGAGAGAGCGCCTCTGCACGGGCAGCAGTGCAGAATCGGACGTGGACAGTCCTACAGTGCAATCGACTTCATCATTTTAAAGTTAGAAAAACAATATTGGCCACAACAAGGTCTTGAATACACGTTTAAAATAAAAAAGAAAATGAAAAACTGTATGAAAATTGATTGATGGACATTCCCAACATGTCTTTTGTGCCTGGGTGGGTGGCCTCACGTGACCCCTTGCCTATGAGGAACTCGAAGGCAGAGTCCCATGCCACTGTGGCACATCTCACATGTGGCCTCAGTCCACAGCCGGGCGGCAAACTAGACTCAAGCCATATTTTGAAGCGAAGTTACTTCAACCTCTATCTGCTTACTTGCCAAAAAAAATCCAGGAGTGAGGGGAAACCGTGTTCTCTGCTGTGTGCTGCCCCGTGACTACTGTGTGTTCAGTACAGTAATGAGCTCCAAAGAAAACAGAAAACCAACGGCTTGTGCTCCTCATGACAATCGCTCCTGGGACCTGCTTCTACCTCTACGCCCCTTCTCCAGCCCTGCCCTCAGCGTTCTGAGGCCGGCTGCACGACCTTGGTAAGGCATATCTGGCACGGACCGAGTTTCAAACCCTGCCTGCCGGGTCGTTTCTGGAGCTAAGCCGACACTCCCACAGCTGCTGGGGTACCTGGAGACGGTCTGCAAAGCTACGTCCACCTCAGGCACGACGCACCGTATGCACCTTTGCTCTGTTTGGTATCCAGCACACACACCTCAAGACACCCCCAGTCCCTGGCTCTGTCCGGTGGCGGCAGCAGCTCAGTAGCTGTACATCTGCTGCTGCTCTGCCTGGACCTGGGGCTGTGCCGCCTGCTGTGGGGGTGCCGGCGGCTGCGGCGGCTGCAACACGTCTGTCTGGGGCACTGCCCGCCATGTGAGTGGGTGCTGCTCACTGAGCTGGCTCCCCAGGGGTGTGATGGAGTTGACCAGGGTGGTCAGATTGATGAAGTGGGCCACAGACTGGGGGCTGGAGGCCTCTGGCGGCGGGTGGACCTGGACATCGTGCTGGCGGTTGTGCAACATGGCGGAGCCACTGACGGTGTCAAAGGTCACGGTCAGGATGGAGTTGTCCAGCTGCAACTGGCGTTCAGGGGTGGTGAGGTGCCCCACAGCCACTGGCTGCAGATTGGTAAACTGAGTCCCAGCTGCAGTGGTGATGGGGGTCACGGTGATATTGGTCAGGCCAACGGAACTTGATGGGGCAGTCACATTGGGGTCTCCCAGGGTCACCACCACCTGGAAGAGTGACACAGAGCAAGAGATGGTGAGGTTTGCTGCAGAGGGAGGGTGGAGTAGGCTCCTGAGAGTGCACTTGGCTGCTGTGTCACAGTCACACTGGGGTTGTCACATGCTCCTGGCTAAGGATAAGAGGCAAACAGCTATCGGTGAAGGAGACACCAAGTTAATCTTGTCCTGGAAAAATCATTTCCATTGGAAAAGAGAAACAAGATGCAAATAATAACCAGGCCACAAGGGGGAAGAACACTCCAGGGAGGGGCTGCCCGGGCGGGCAGGAGAGGCAGCCAGCAGGAAAACGGAGGCCGAGCCTCCCGCAGGCACTGCCTCCCGCCCTGCTGCCCGCAAGCCACAGAGAACCTGCCATGGTTGGGTCTGCAATGCTCCCCAGAGACACCCCAGGCTTGGGACCAAGGGAGCGCCCCACTGGTGGCACTATTTGGGGTGGTAGGACCTTTAGGAGAGGCCTGGTCGGAGGGAGCATGTCAGTGCGGGGTCTGCCCTTTAGAAGGTGTTTTTGTCCCCACACCCCATCTCGGCTTCCCTGCAGCCATGAGGTGACGGCTTGCCCCTGAACTCCACACCATGATGTTCTTCTGGAACGTTCTTCCTCCTCACAGGCCAAAGTGATGGCCAAGTGACCATAGACTAAAACCTCAGACCACAAGCCAAAATAACGCTTCCCTCCTGTAAGCGACTTTCCTGGGCATTTTGTCACAGTGGTGGGAAGCGGGCACGATATCCTCACCACAGGGTAAGGAGGAGAACGCGACACCGCGGTCCCAACAGCCAGGCAAGGGGGCGGCTCTCCTTCCTAAGCAGCACAGAGGGCAGCCGAGTGCAGGGGTCCCTCCAGAGTGGGAGGCACGCAGAGGCAGGGCCCTAAGAGACGCGGGGCCTCAGGAGCAAACACGAGGAGGCTGAGCAGGAGATCTGTGGGAGGAGGGGCTCAGCTGCCCCGTACTGTCCTCTGCCCCCTGCAGAGGGCCCGCCTGGACTGCAGTGCCTACGACTGCCCCTCCACAACCAGGGGACGCACTGGCAGCCTGGGGTCTCCCCACCCTGGGACCCCAGCCAGGGTGATGTCCGTTTCACACACTGGGATGTCAGGTCACTGCTGACAGCGACCAGTGTGATGTGGAGGTCAGAGCCTGGCGTGCTACAGGAAACAAGGCCGGTGTGGACCGCAGGACTCAGGGCAGACCCAGGAGGAGTCCACGTGTGCGGGGCGCACGCTGCAGATGGGCTGGCGTCCTGCGCGTGCAGACGCCTGTGCTCGGGGAAGCGGCCTCCGTAAGAGGGCCTGGCACCCCATCTTACAGAGAGAGACCAGCAGACCTGCTGAATGCTCTGCACTGCGGAGCTGGTCTCGTCGCCCACGCTGCCCGTGAACTCGGCCTCCTTTTCCGAGTACTCGCTGAAGGCGGTGTCCTCGGGTGCCGGTGCCCCTGCCCCCTCCTCGGGCTTCTGCTTCCTCCGGTGGCTGCGCTTGGCAGTCTTCCCAGGCTTCCCCTCAGCCAGCTCTTCCTGCTCCAAGTTCAGCTCAGGCTGTGGGAAGACCAGGTTCAGCGACAACAGGCCAGGGCAGCCCTGCACCGCCCTGGACACACAGCAGGCCAGCGGTGAGGCTCAGCCCACGGTGCAGGCTTCCAGCAGAACTCTCCCCGGGCAGAAGGAGACCCCTGTAGGAACGGCTGTGGTCTGAAGGGCCTGCCCACGACAACTGTGTGGACGGCTCCCGGGGACCCATCCCACGTGCCCCCTGCCGGGGTGGAGGGAGAGACGGGCCGTGGCCAGATCCTCCTGCCAGGTCAATCCTCCCCGGGCAGCAAGGGGCCTGGGGAGGTTCTCCATGTGGTCCCACTGCCCCTCCCGTGCGACTCATGCCCCCAAGGCAGACAGACCAGAGTAGTCTGCCAAGGCGTGGTCACAGTGGCTTCCCTCCCACCGGCTGCCCGCGGCTCAGGCCCAGTGGCTCGTGGGTCTCTGGTCTGGACATGGCTGCCACACACTCCCTCACTGGACCCAGCGGCCTGCATCTGCCCTGCACTCAGGACCCGTGGCACGGCACTCGCGCGTCGATGCTGCACCCTGAGTCCCTCGTGCCCGCGGGGCCCGCGTGCGGCTCACCTGGACGATGCCGATGGAGGAGGCGTCAATGGTGGTGGTCTCAGGCAGGTGGTCCAGGTCGTCGATCCTCACTGCAAGGACCTGCAGGGGCATGGGACAGTGAGCAGGCCTGCCAGCCCCCATGACAGCGGCCCTGGTGACACCCGAGGAACCCGGACACGGGGGTGGGGGTCCCTCAGAGAAGTCCCTCTGCGGGGGGCTGGCTTGAGACTCAGCAGCCCATCCAGGAGGGTCCCCAGCCCCAGCCCCTGACCAGGTTCCTGCAGGCTCTCACACAGCGGGGCTGCTGGCACCAAGGTGCTCTCTCCTCTCGTGACTGCACAGCCGCGGCGGGCACCGCGTCCTCCCTCTGCTGCCCCGTGACAGGAGCTCTCAGTGAGACCCCAGAGCCCCTGGCGCCCCGCAGAGCAGCTGAGCAAGTCAGGTGCAGTGGGCCGGCACCGGACAGCGGCTCCTCACTCAGAGCACCCTCACCCCGACCTGTTGCTCTGTGGCAGGCGGAGTGCAGCCCCTCCCCTCCCCTCCATCAGCCCTGCTGAGCGATGTCCTCAGCCTGTGACGCTGGCACTGGGACTTGCCCCGCGTGCCCATGGCTCTCCCACAGCTTGGGTGTGAGCAGCGGGTGAGCACCTCACCACCAGCCTGCCCCTGCGCACGTTCCTCAGGCTCATTCTGTGATGACTGCCCTGATTAGGTCACAAGGAGGGGACACAGCACATAGGACGGACGGAAGGCAGAGACTGATGAGGTACGCGGCCAGACGGGACGGGGTGTGGGAACCACAGTGTCTGGGGGGTTCTGCACTTGGCAGCCCTGCAGGCCCCTGAAGAAAGTCACCCTGGAGATGGAACAGAGGCTCTGGATGGCTGACGACCGAGGGCGGGCAGGGCGTCTCTGGCCTGTCCTCTGCACAGGACCCTGTGGCCTTGAGCCTCAAGCAGGTGCTGGGGACACCTGCGCTCACCCCTCCAGCTCAGGACTAGGGGAGGCCGTGCTGTGTTTCTGGGGCCACGTGGATTCCCTCCCTCAGGGTCTCTCTCCTCTGCACGTGGCCCCCGGCTTTGTCGCGAGGCATCATCACCAGGAATGCTCACGGCGTCTGCCCGCTGGCCTCTGCACTCTCTCTGACCTACAGAGGCCCTCGAGTGGGTGCAGTCTAATGGAGCGATACTTTATTGACTTCTTCTGCCACTTTGGCTGGGAAAGTCTTCCCGTTCCAGGAGGTGATGACCATTCACCTGCATTTTCTTCTTTGAAGTGTACCTCGCTGCCGGGCTCCCCCAGACCTTCTCTAGGAGGGCTTTCGGGGGGCCAGGCCGCACTTCTCCAGTCTCTCCCACTGGGCCTGAGCCCCCACCCCGGCACTCTGACGGTTCCTGTCTTGCACACTATTCACTTCAGTGGGAGGAAGCAGGGAGAGGGAGGGTAGGGCGTCCACCTGGTGTGACCCCAGGGAGAGAAGGTTTAGAACTGGTGTGAGTTACCCTGGCCCTCCTCTGTCCTGGCCGTTCGTCCAGCACCTCCTCCTGCGCAGGTGCACAACTCAAGGGTATGTGGTCAGGCCCTGCCCCAGGAACTCAGGGTCTCCAGCAAGACAGACCCAGGCACCACAGTGGGGTCCTGCAGAGGGGAGGCACACCCCAGGCCACAGAGGGCGGGGTCGGTCACCAGGCTCACCTCGGGGTGCTTGCGCCGCATGTGCCTGCTCATGGAGGCCCGGGTGGACACCTTGGTCCCGCACAGCTGACAGCTCTGCGCCTCCACCTTGTCATGGGTGAGCTGCACGTGCTTCTGCAGCATGTACTCGGTGACGTACTTCTTGTCACACACGGAGCACGTCCACTGCTTGCCCACTTCTCAAGTGTACACAGGCAGGAGGAGAGAGAGGTGCAGGTCACCCGTGGGGCCTTCCCCTGACCCCACTCTGGACAGCCTGTGCCTGCCAGCCCACTGCTCCTCTTGCGAGAGCTGCCCACCAGGTCAGCCCTGGGGAGCACATGAGGCCTCTCCCCCACAGCGCTGCCCCACAAATACCGGGTGGCTCAAGGCCCCTGTCTGCCCCACAACAGGCCCCACAACAGTGCTGCCCCACCAATAAATACTGGGCTCAAGTCGCAGGGGTCTCGCAGGCCATGGGTAGCACTGAGCACCCTGGGGACCCCGGCCTACGAGCAGCCGTGCCAGCCTCGCCAGCTGGTGCAGCCGAGGGCGTTCCTGCAGACCACCCACCTGTGTGGATGAGCTTGTGGGTCTCCATGGTGTTCCTCTCGCTGAAGGTCTTCCCACACAGCTCACACATGAAGTCTTTGATCCCTGTGGGAAGAGCACGTGAGTCTCACAGGCAGGAAGCGCTGAACATAAAGGAGGTCTTGCCCGTGACATAGCCTAGTGTCTGCCTCTGGGGGAGGGAAATTGCCAGAAGGTGGTAAACAAAAAGCCCTCAATCCCAAACTCAACTCGCTCCCAGAAAACTGTGGCTTTAAAATATACCCCTCTAGGGCGCTATTTTATATTAAAAAATAAAAAGCAGAAAGGCCTGTCTGAAATCACAGAGGCGGAGCAGCACAAGTATGAAGCAGTGGCAGTTGCTTTAGGGTTAGTTTACTCACCCCACTGAGTCCAGGTAGCACACGAGACAGAGGAGAGGAACAGAGGAACCCAGACCAAACACAAGGAGGGTACAAACACGCCGAGCCCAAGAGACCACAGGACTGCTGCGGCCAACCACAGTCATCTCTGCTATCCAACAGCACACACAGAAAGACCACTCACCACAATCAAGTGGGATCACTGTGAAGGAGGCAGGACGATTCAACACATGCAAATCAATACGTGTCATACGTCACATCAACGGAAGGAAGGGTGAAAAGCACATAAACATCTTAATAGACCAGAAAAGACATTTGATGGATTTCAACGTCCCTTCAAAATGAAAACCTTGAGCAAAGTTAAGTGTCAAAGGACCCCACCCCAGCACAATAAAGGCCACCTGCGACCAACCCACAGCCAACATCATACCAAATGTGGAAACCAAAAGCATTTCCTCTAAAACCAGGAACAAGACCAGGGTGTCCTCTCTCAGTGCTCTCATCCAACACAGCACTGGACGTTTTAGCCAGGGTGGTCAGGCAAAACGAGACACAGAAGGCACACCAACAGGAAAGGAGGAAATCAAACAATCCTATGCAGGAAAACCTGAAGACCCACTGAAGACCTCTAGAACCGAACCGATGATTGAGTTCAGCGAGGATGCAGCGTGTGAAATCAACACGAAAAATGTACTGACCAACAACAAACTTGGTCAGAAACCATGAAAGCAATCCCATTCACAGCAGCTATGAGAAGAAGGAGAAGGAGGAGGAGGAGGAAGAGGAGGGGAGGAGGTGGGGGGAGAAGAAGAAAAAGAAAGCCAACCAACCAACCAACCAAAAACCAAGGAATACACTTAACCATGAAGTGGAAAATAACTTTCAAAGAATGTTAACAAACACTGATGTAAGAAATTAAAGAATACACACAAAAATCGGAGACATTCTATGTTCACGGACTGGAGGAATGAATGTCGTCAAAATGTCCATCCTATCCAAAGTGTTCAGTGCAACTCCATTGACACGTCAGACATGAAGAGAGAATCTAGAACTAGAAGAGAGAATCCCAAACTTCATTTGGAAGTGTGAAAGACTACCGAAGCCATCCTGAACAAAAGACCAAAGCCGGAGGCCTGGCCCTGAGCCACAGAGACAGCAGGTACCAGCCAGAAACACGAGAGAAACACACCCACAGTCTACGCCAACTGACTCTGAACAGAGACGCCAAGAACCTGATTAGAGACAGGACAGCCTCTTCAATCAAGGGTGCTGGGAAAGCCGGATAGGGAAGACTCGACCCAACTCTCACCCTGCACGAAAATCAAGTCAAACTCCATCCAAAGCCGAAATGTAAGACCTGAAGCCGAAACTCCTAGAAAACACAGCAGATGTTTCAAGACACTGGTACAGGACCTGACGAAGGGTGGGCGTCCACATACACGAGGAACTCAAACACTTGACCAAAAACTAGTTCATCCAATTAAAACACAGACGAGTGTGCTGACAGACACAGATGTATGCAAAAATGCTCAATGCCACGAGCCACAGGGACGCCAAACCAAAACTAGAGCGAGACAGAACCCCACGCCAGTGGGAAAGGCTGTCACCCCGAGAACATGAGCAAATGCGGGGAGGATGTGGAAAGGGGGCTCTCCTACACTGTGGGCGCGTCTCTGCCCTCTGCAGTCCCCCAGGTGCCCAGAGGGTGACGCGGCCTGGGACCACGGGCCAGACCTTTCAGAGACCCACCAGCTCTGGTGCTCCTGCCTGTGGGCTCGGAGCCAGGTGGGGCCTGGCGCTCACAACAGGGGAGCCTCTGGGGCCACTGGGGGCAGAGGCGGGCGGCGCGGGCCTCACCCGTGTGCCGCTTGTAGTGCTTCAGCATGTTGACCTTCTGCGCGAACTTGCGGTGGCACTCCTTGCACTCATACTCCTTGATGCCCTTGTGCAGCTTCATGTGGTGGCGCAGCGCGTGTTTCGTCTTCATGCCTGGGGACACAGGAGGCCAGGCTGTGCCAGCTGGGCCCTCCAGAGCCCGCTCCAGCTGCCCACGCCCTGATGCGGCCTGCCTATACGGGGACCTCGGAGGTCTGGGCTCCACCAGCCACAGGACTGGCACCACCCCAGAGCCACTGGAGACTAACCGCGACACCAGCTGCTGCAGACGTCCATGACTTACCACCGTGACCCAACTGGACAAGTTGGAGAGGGAGGGAGGGGGGTGACTAGGGCTTCCTGCCCATCTTGACAGAATGTTAGTCAAGATGCCAGGACACCACGTGATTGAAATAAGCACCCCCATCTACCTTTAGTGCATGTCAACACAGCCCATCTGAGGGAGCTCATGGGGAGGGGGCACCCCTGAACAAGGCCCGGGTCGGGGGAGCGAACAGTCTCAAAGAGCCCAGGACCGGCTGGGTGTACAATGTTGTGCCTGAAACCCCAGCAGGAGCAGCAAGGGCCCGCGGGCAGCTCACACACCCTGGCTGGCTCATGCACCAGGGCAGACTGTCCAGTCCCGCGGGCCCTAAGCTTTAAAAGAAATCAGGTGGGGCTGGGATTGTGGCTCAGCGGTAGAGCACTCGCCTAGCACGGGCGGGACCCGGGTTCGATCCTCAGCACCACATAAAAATAAAAGGAACTGTGTTGTGTTCATCTACACCTAAAAAAACCAATAAATATTAAAAAAAAAAAAAAAGAAATCAGGCAATATTTAACTGTTTTGATTTGAAAGATCGCTAGGGTGAATTTTTAGGTAAAGAACAAGCAAGCACAACATTTGCTTGTGTTTGCATTGAATGAAAAGAGGGCAAAATGACAATACCAAATCTGTCATTTTAAACCATCATAGAAGTGGGGACCCAAACACTAACTTGCGGTCTACCCAAACCACCTGGAATTCAGGAAGGAAATCAGGGAACGCAGCATTTACCATGTTTCAAATATCAAAATTTACAACTGCGGCTTTGACCACATGCACGTCTTGCCTTGGGCTCTCCTGGCACACAGGCTCCCGCCAGACCTCCGAGTAGCACGTGGACTCCACCCGGTGTGGTCCTTCTGTCCCCAGGAGGTATCCCTTGCCATGATGGTCTACTGCTGACCCTTCCCATCTCCTGGCTGCCTGAAGCAGGACCCCTTCAGCCAGGTCTGACTAATTTTCTAAAAATTTCAACTTTTGAGGGGTTAGAGAGGGAAGGGGAGGTGACAGCAGGTGAAGGGGCTGGAGAGCTTATGGCCCATCTGTACCATGCTGCTTTCTTCTTTTCTCTTGGGGAGGGGGCGGGTACTGGGACTTGAACCAATACATAGGTGCTTTACCACTGAGCTATATCCCTAGACCTTTTTTTTTTCTTTTGTGGTGCTGGGGATTGAACCCAGGGCCTTGGGCATGCGAGGCAAGCACTCTACCAACTGAGCTAGATCCTAGCCACTTAGTATTTTTTTATTTTGACAGGGTCTTGCTAAGTATTTGAGTATCTGGCTAAGTTGATGAGGCTGGCCCTGAATTTGCAGTTCTCCTGTCTCAGCACCCAAAGTTCCTGGGGCTACAGGTGCGCACCACTCTGTCGCTTTCTCAGTAAAGAAACCTGTGTGATATTCTTTCCCACAGCCATTCTGGAGGAGGGCAAAGTGCAACTGTGCCCTTGCCTACAGCCACCTGGGAGATGGAGGGCAATCTCTCTGCAGCTGTGACCTTGCCCACAGCCACCCTGGGAGATGGAGGGCAATCTCTCTGCAGCTGTGCCCTTGTACACAGCCACCCAGGAGGATGGAGAATATCCTGCAGCTGTGACCTTGCCACGGCCACCCAGGAGGATGGAGGACAACCTCCCATTTTGACCTTACTCTGAGACCTTGTCCACAGCCATGCTGGAGGTCAATAAGAGGTGCTGGAGAGGAGGTGGGAGGACGATGTCTCGTTCCCTGGTTTCTCTACACTGAATTCTTTCTTACTCTATCAGTGTTTTTCATATGCACTATTAGGGCCCATATGGTGCACAGAATCACTGACATTTGAGTTTTCTTCTGTTCAATTTTTGTAAAAACCAAAAAAGGAAAACAGTAAAACCATTTATGGACTATGAAATGCTAGAAAGTGCTAATCACAAAGCAGGTAACCTTGGTTTGTCTGGCAGCTGAATGGGCTGCCCAGCAGCAGAGCCTGTGGCATCACCAGGGTGGCCCAAGAATGACCTGACCCCAAGCCCCCCCTCCCCCGAGTCTTGGGAGGACTCTGAATTTTTCTAGTAGAAACGGGTCACAACTGCAGCATGCCCCAGGTTCTCCTCCTCCCTCCTGATCTGCACGTCTCCTTAGTGGCTTCTTAGCAGCGAGCTGCCTGTATGTCCCGCCGCAGCTCCTGGCTCGCGAAGCAGCTGCTCCATGCCACTCGCCACGCCTTCCCTTTCTTGTTAAGGGCACCACTGGGTCTCCTGGGGCACCGGTGGCACCCGTATCATTGTGACCTGCCAGTTCCTGCCCCACCTCCTTGGAGAAAGCAGTGAGACCGTGAGGCCCCGTCTGGAGCGAGGTGCGCACCTTTCCCACACTCGGCGCACAGGTACTCGCGGATGTTGTCATGCACGCGCATGTGCTCCTTAAGCATGTCCTTCCTGGCGAACGACTTCCCGCACTGCTCGCAGGCGTGGCTTTTCACACCTGCAAGACAAGGCAGCATTTCAAAGGGTGGTGCTGGGGTGGGCCACCTCTCCCCAGCCTGCACAGAACCGCTCCAGGGTCCCTGGCCTGAAAAATTCCCCGAGGACATGGAGGGGGCTGGGCCATGAGCACAGGGTGGTGGGGGTCGGAGAAGCTGGGGGACAGCAGAATGTACTCGGGGGAGGCCGGGGGCTGCCAGGCTCGGGTGCAGGGAGAGCCCTGGCAACCCCAGCACTGCCTGCTCAGGCCCCACTCCTGTGGGAACAGGCTACCTGTGTGGATGAGCTTGTGACGCTCCAAGTTCCCAATGCTGTTGAAGATCCGCCCACAGATCTCGCAGGGGTGAATGTATCTGAAACCAAAGAGGAGCTTCAGGACACGGCCCCAGCTCGAGTGGCCCGTCAGGGAGAGGACACGCTCCCAACACCTCTATAGGCACAAGTGAGGCAGAAGGTGCCACGTGTGGACAAAGTGGCACAGGCTTCAGCTCTATGATGGGCGAAACCGTGTGCCCATATCCCTGGGCAGTAGCCCCAGCCCCAGCCCTCGGACAGTGACTGTATTTGGAGATGGGGTCTTTGGAGATGTGAAGGTAAAATGAGGTCACTGGGATGGCCCTGATCCAATCTAACTGGTGTCCCCAGAGGAAAAGATCGGGACACAGGCACACACAGGGGCTGACCCTGTGAGGAAATGGGGTTGGGGGACACCACTGGCCAATCCCGTGACTCCTTGGCCTCCAGGGCAGAGCGGAGGCTGTCTGCTGCGTTGACCCCCCATCTGCACTGGGTCACAGGTGCCCTGGGAGACCAGGCTAGCCTGAAGGCAGCATGTCACTCGCTCGCCACACAGCCCTGATCACGTGCCACGTGCCAGAGCCGGGGCTGGCACCAGGGAAACCGAATCACTGGGAGGAACGGGCTTCATGTCGTCCTTCAGCTGTGCTGAGAACTGGGCTACTTCTCTCCGAAAGTCCTACCGGGGAGGCGAGGGTGAGGCCTGGGGGGATGGGCACCCAGAGCCCTGGCGCAGCTGTTGGCCGAGCACGCTGCCCTGCCCTGCTGCCCACATCCACTGCACTGCGGGGCTGCGAGCTGGGAGCCTCACTTCTGCACGTTGGGGTCGGGCAGGTTCTCGCGGTGGATGACCATGTGGGCGTGGTAGGTGGCCTTGAGGGCGAAGCGCCGGTGGCAGGTGCTGCAGCCGTAGCCCTTCTCCTTGTGCACCTCCATGATGTGCTTCAGGTACTCCTTCCCGCGGCCGAAGGTGAGCTGCGGGGCAGGCCAACCGCTGACACCCAGGCTCTGGGCCTCTGCTTCGCCAGAGGTCACCAGGCCCCATAGGGACCGTCACTGTGCGGGGCAAAGGACACCCAGGGGCTGGCAGGAGCTGCACATTCCTGGCAGGGGTGCCTGCCGGGTGGCTGCCACCTGCACAACAAGCTGACAAAAACTCGGGGCGGGGTCCCCGGAAGTGAGCTGCCTCCCTTTAAGACGCCTCCTCTGAGCACAGGGGAGACCTGGGAGGGCTTCAGGATGGAGCGGGGAGAGGGACAGAGGGAGCCTGGCCTGGGCCAGCGCACCTGTCCTACCCTGCTCAGCACTGCCTGTGTAGGTGCAGGGGACCCGGGGCTGGGCTCTGCAGGGCTGTGAGCCCAGTCCCCCTCCCCGGGCCCGGGAGACCTGGCCTTTAGAGGCAGGTGCCTCCCACGCTCGCACGGGTGCCCTGGGGTCCCTGCAGCGTCACAGCTGGGAGTCACCTCCTGGGCGTCTCAAGGTCGGCTGGCCCGAGTACCTGACACCTCTTGCAGCTGTACTTGTGGGGCTCCGAGTCCGCGCTCTCGTCGGAGTTGTCATCGTTCTCCTCTGAGGAGATCCCGATCTTGCCGATGAACTCCTCCCGCTGGTGGTCGTCCATGAGCGCAATGTCCTGGGGAAGCCACATTCCTGCCTCACGTGTGCCCAGCTCTGCCCGGCACGTGCAAGGCTGATGAGCCAGGCCCGAGGCACTACCTTGCTGCGTCCGAGGACCCCGGGCCTGCCGGCCCCCTGGCCACCCACTCACGGCCTGGGGTGCCATGCTCTCCTGCCCCGCCTTCTCACCCCCTCTCCAGGGCCCAGAGAATGCCACCTCGTGCCCAGGGCAGAGCTGCTGGAGGCTTCCCAAGTTGGCCCGGGCGCTCCCCAGCCCGTTGGGCCTTTGGTTCCGACCGCTATTTCCTCCTTTTTCTCTGGGGTCAGTACTTCTGTGGCCTGAATCACAACAAGGCCACCCTCCAAGGAGGGAGGGACAGAGCACCACCCACATGCTACTCTCCCCGTCAGCCCACACCGAGGAGCCGCACTTCAAGCCCGCAGCTGGACCGTGTCGCTAGCTAATGCAGGCATGGAAGTCAGCCTGAAGAGATTCACGGTGGCCAAGCTGACAATCGTTTTGGGGGACAGTGATGGTTTGAATGTCTGCACCCCTCAAATTCATGTGCTGAAACCTCAGCCCCAAGGTTATGGTGCCGGGAATTGGGCCTCCGAGGTGGCAAGGCCGCCAGGGTATGTCCCTTGTGACTGGGACTGGTCTCCTGCAGTAGGCCCTGAAAGCTCCCCCCACCAGGTGAGGACACAGCGGACAACAGCCTTGGCCTCGCCACCGACTCTGTTAGCACAACCGCAGCTAAGATGCTGGCCCGGGGCCTGGCACGCTGTGTGTCACTGGGAAGCTGGCGCATGCCTGACACCTTGAAGTGGACGTGGATGTGGTCCCTGAGCACGTCCACGCGGAAGAACTTGCGCCCGCAGATCTCACAGGTGTACTTCTTGTCGCCGTGGGTCAGCAGGTGCTTGTTCATGTTGCTGCGGCAGGAGAATACCTGGGGGCAGAGGGGCCGCACCGTGGGGAGGTGAGGGCTGTGCCCATGGGACACAGAGCAGACTGTCACCTCGGCCCACAAAACACAGGGCGACTTCTCCTAGACTCTAAGCCCCAACAACTCAAGTGTGAGACCCGCACGTCATCCCCGGCACTGGAGCAGGGTGACCCACTGTTTGGATCCCTGCTCACGCCACAGTCCACAAAGGGCCCAGCCCCGTCCTCACTGTGGCTACAGCTGCTCGAGGGCTTCCACGGGCACTAAGTGTTTTGCTATCGTGGTCCCAACCAAGAGGCCAGCGAGTCAGAAACAGTGCAGCTGTGGGAAGGTGGGTGTCAGAGAAGGAGCCAACCCTCTCGCCCCACATCCCTGCTGTCCTGGCATCCCCAGTGTGGTAACGTCCATCGCACACTCGTCCCCAGGGTCACCTCTGTGGAAGCCCCTAAGCCCACTGACGGAGGGGTAGACAAGGCAGGCAGCTGAGTGTCTCCACCTGGATGGCGTTCCCGGTGGGTAGGTAACAGTGCGGGTGTCTGGAGGCACCTGCCTGCCCAGCTTGTGCTTGTCCCCTAGCTCTGCACCCTCCCACTCTGGACCAGACACCAAATCTTCACTGTAGTTCAGGTTCATGGGGACCCTGAGGCCACACTGCACAGTTGTCCCATGAGCTTTGTCTTGCTCTGAGGTTTAAAAAAAAATATCAGAAAATCTCATATAAAAACATGGATTTCCATTTTTCCCTGAAAAGGTCAAAAGATCTAGCATTGGTGCCACATGTTGGCAGGCAGGGACCGCCGGTGTGAAGAGACCTGTGTCCCCGGGGCTGGGGCGCCTGGCATGTGACACTGCCGCAGGAGCCAGCACCAGGTGCTTCACGTGAGCCATGTGGCTGTGACAGGTCCAGGAACGCCCCCTCCTCTTGGTGACTCCCAAGACCACTGGGTGACAGCGGTGCCATGTGGGAACTTCTCTGGGCAGCTCCACTGCGGCACCTGCCTGGATGCTGCGAGGACACGAGTCCTCTGAGGAACAGTCGGCAACACCCAGGGAGTGGACACTGCGGCCAACACAAGCGGCAGCACCCTTCTCCAAACCAGGTTCTCATCTGCAAGAAATGGGCCGTGCCTCCACGGCAGCCCGCACGGTGGTGGCAGCCAGCAGGATGGGTTCTGAGCAGCAGACGCACGTCCCTAGACACCAGGTCACACCAGAGCAGCCACTCTGGGCACGGGGGGACTGCTCATATGGAGGCTGTCACTTGCTGTCTGGATGTCAGGTGTCCCCAAAGCTCCTGCTGATGCAGGAAAGTGCAGAGGTAAAGCGGCTGCACTGTGAAGGCTGTGACCCAAGAAGTCCAGCCCAGCCTGGAACCGCTGGCAACTGCAGACAGGTGGGGCGTGGCTGGGGGGTCACTGGCCCCTCTGCTCCCAACCTGCCAAGAACCCAGCGGCTTTCCTCACTGGGCCCTTCCACCATGATGTCCCGCCTCTCCTGGGCCCAGCAGTGGAGTCAGCATCTATGGGCTGAGACCTCTGAAACTGCGAGCCCCAAACCCACCTTTCTTCTTCTAAGTTGTTCTTATCAGGTATTTTGGTCACAGCAACAAAAAGCTAACCACAGCCATCACCATGGAGGGTCATCTGTAGCCCTGCCTCAGGAGTGGTCACCAAGAATGGCTCATCTCTCCCTTAGAAAAGGTGGCCTGCCTTTTCTGGGCAGGGGAGACCAGCAGGACAGGCCACATAAAGCTCTGTGACCTCCCACTTCCTTTGGTGCCCGGGGCCCGGTCCTACCACCAGGACGAGATCTAAGGAGTGGGAGCCACAGAGCAGCGCGGGCGAAGCTCACCGCAGCGGGGAAGGGCTACGGAGGGACAAGTGCGGCCTCAGCACGTTCACTGGAAAGCCATCCTCGGTGGCAGAGACCGAGCGGCAGGTGTGGGGTGAGAGGACAGCTGTTAGACCCGAGCAGCAGCCGCCGCCCTCAAAGCCCCCCGAGGTGCTCGGGCCAGGCAGCCCTGGGCCGTAGTCAGGAAGCCCGCCCGCCCTCACGGCCCCATGCCCCTCGCAGGCATTACCTTGCCACACACCGGGCATCCGGAGGGCTCCTTCTTGTAGCGCACCAGGCTTTCCCCGCCAGCCTCCAAGTCCTCTCTCTTCACCCGCCGCACTCCTGAAATCCCCGAAACCCCACCAGGCAGAGTGAGCACACAAGCAGTAGGTGGGGTGGAGCACGGCCGGCCCTCCCAGCTGGACAGCGCGCTGGAATGTCCTCAGAGGACGGACCAGCTGCCTACCCACCGGGGCACCAGCAGCAAACAGCAGCTCCTGGGGAAGGAAGAGTGGTGTGCTGCCCACGGGACTGGCAAGGGCCTCGCACCCAAGGCTGCAGAGCTTGGGCACCCAGCGCCGGGCCTCAGCACACAGCTGCGGTGCTCTTGTGCCAGCACCTGATCGAAAGCTCGAGGCCGAGCGAGTCCTGCAGATGGCTGTAAGCAGGCAGACTTTCATTTTTTTATTAAAAAGATACTAACTTTCATGTCTTCCAACTAAAATCAGTCAAATCAGGATCAGAATAAAAAGTCAGCAGGTAATAAAATCTCTGGTTTTAAGGAAAAGTTTTCAAGAGCAGGGTTAAAACAGACTTTTTTGCCAGGTATGGTAGCACATGCCTGTTTATCTCAGCAATTTGGGAGGCCGAGGCAGGAGGATTTAAGTTTGAGGCCAGCCTTAGTAACTTAGTGAGGCCCTAGGCAACTTAGCAAGACCCCATCTCAAAATAAAAAATTAAAAAAGGCTGGGGATGTAGCTCAGTGGTAAAGCACACCGGATTCAATACCCAGTATTAAAGAATCAACAAAACAGACTTTCAGAGGCACTGTGACATTTAATTGAGGTCCCAGTATCTGGGCGGCTGGAGCAGGAGAGCAGCTGGAGCCCAGGGGTTCAAAACAACATGAAATTCAAGTCAGAGCTCATGTGAAACAGGTCATTTCTCAACCAGAGAGAAACACGTCCTTAGGTCCTCAGGTCTTGAGCCGTGGGCAGAGCCAGCGCGTATGCATCAGGCAGAGTCCAGAAGGCTCCAGGGCACAAAGGTGCCACGTGGGGTCTGAGGCAGGGTGTGGTCTAGATGAAGGAAGCACCACAGAATGGCCTCAAGGCCACGAGCAGACGCCACAGAAACGGGGTCTGGGGGAGGTGTGGGTTACGGCTGCAGCCCAGCCACCTGGACATGGGGACAAGGGGCCTCTGACAGGGACCACGGTGGCAGACAGCTGCCGGCACTTGCTCTGTGCTGTGCCGTGCTGGGAGCTGGTTGAGCAGGGTCTGGTGCAGCCAGACATGGACCTGGGGAGGGGGTCACGGTCCCCGCGGAGAGAGCGCGCGCAGCTGTGAAGCGCCCCGGAGGCCGGCTGCGGGTCTCTATGGAGCAGCGCAGGGAGGGCCTGCTGAAGACCCCGTGGGCTGCAGCCCAGCCTTGTTTGTAAGGGCCCGGGGCACACGAGGACACAGGCGAGTCACAGAGCACAGCAGCCGCGGCTTCACCCTGGCCCCCTCACGAGTGCGTGGCTGCGGTTCTCTGTGACGCTCCGAGCGTCAGTGAGCTCTGCTCACGAGGGCAGCTGCCCCAGGACTGCTGGAGCGGAAACAGTGAAAACACGCGACATCCTGGGTCAGGCCTCGGAGCCCTCGGGTCACCCGGGGTCCCCCCACCAGCAGCAGCTGCACGGCGCACAGGGCTCTTCCTAGGCCTGCGGCGGCTGGGCGACTGCTCGCCCCCAGCCCAGCTCCCTGGGTCCCATTCACCCTGCTGCTGCCTCCAGGGTCCAGACGGGCCCTGTGGACGGGCCCCTCTCTGGCTCTTCGAGCCCTCTGTGAGGACGGACAGCCCCAGGCCAGTTGTGCTGGTGACCACGAAGCCACAGAGCGTGAGGAACGAGGGACGGTTGTGGCCCCCCAAAGGCGCCCAGCAGCTCTCTGCGCTGCACTCTGCTGAGAGCCCACCGTGCGCCTGACGGCCAGCTCCTCTGACCTGCTGTCCCACTGGAAGTAGTGTCGCACAACGTTATAAAAACCTTTAAGGAAATTCTTCTACTGACCACTTGGCGTTAGACCCTATGCACGAGGGTCCTCGGAGTCTCTCCCGGGCTCCTCCCGAGCGCTCACAACAGCACCCCCACCCCTTGGGCTCTACGTGCTGGCCGGGCCTGGGGAGCCACGAGGCAGGCAGCGGGCATTTCTGGGCACTGCCTAACTGCTTCCCTGGAGGCGGCAGGACGCCGCCGTGGCCCCCAGCCCTCCCTCCCGGGTGCCTACGGCCCACCTTCCAGGTGCCGCCTCTGGTGGTCCAGCATGACGTCCTTGCGGTAGAACATCTTGCTGCAGACCTCGCAGGCGAACTTCTTGTCCCCGTGCTTCTTCTTGTGCTTGGAGAGGTTGCTGTTGGTGGAGAAGAATCTGAAACACATCTCACATTGGAACGTCTTGTCATCTGTCCAGAGAGCAAACACACACACAGGCTCCGGGTGAGTAACTCCTGGCCAGGCTCAGCGTGTGTCTTGGTGCTAGAGAAGGGCAGGGCTGGGGCAGGAGCCTGCCAGCACGCGGGCCTCTCCACGCCGGGGCACACGGTGAGCGCGTGCGCCCCACAGCCCTCCTCCTTCCCCAAAACTCGAGCCCCCCAGCCTGCGCCCTCAGCTCGTCCACCTGTACCACACAGACCCCAGGGGGCTGTCCTCCCCCTCGAGGCTCAGCCCACCTGCCCCCCATGGCACCCTCCACAGGCTCCATCCCCACCACACAGCACCTCAGAGTTCTCCACTGTCCGCAAACTGCCTCCTAGTTCTAGGTCTCTCTTTAGTGGACAGATCACCCCAACACACACTCCCCACACTCTCCTATCCCCCAGCGATACCCACACCCTGTGCCCTGGGTCCTAAATCTAGTCCCTTCTTGAAGGTAGCCCATCAAACAGCAGGTCCTACCCCTCAGCTCCTGAGCTGCTCCATGCCATCTCTGTCCCATAGCACCCTCCCTCCCTCCACGTACAGGGCCTCAGCTCCTCTCAGCGAGCCCTGCAGAGCTGCCCTCCTCCCTATGCTGCGACGCAGTGGACCCGACGCGGGTACACAGGTGTGTGACACAGGGGTCATCTCCCTTGTCCAGAGTGACGCACCAGGCTCCAGGCCACTGACCAATTCCCACACAGTCTGTGTTGCCAGGTACGCCCCTGAGGCCCAGGAAGAGCCGCTGTGCTCTGCTGCCCCCTGTGCTGGCCCTGCCTGCTGCACTGGAGCCACCATGGACCCAGGCGCTCTCAGGGATGACGTCTGAGCTGGGTCACCTGCCCTGGGCCCTGGGGATGCAGAGTGACACCCTGGCCTCTACCCACTAGATGCTGCATTCCCGCTGGCCCCAGGCGGCTGTGACGCCCGAGATGCCTCAGACACTGCCCCTGCCCCTGCAGTTGAGGCCTGCTGGCCAGGACGTCCTTAGCTTCACTCAGGTGGCTCCAGCGTGCACCTAGGGAGGGAAGACCACACGCACCTCGGGTCACGCAGCCTCACTCCCACCCCAGCAGGTAAAGGCACGAGGACAAGCCCTCTGGCTTGGGAGCCGAGAGGAGGGGGCAGTGGGGACAGCAGTGTCTCTGTGGGCTTCATGCCCAGCAGGACAGCCGGGCTGCAGGCCCTGCATGAGGCCTCCGCCACCCGGGCCAGGAGAAGCTGTCAGGAGGACACCACGCAGCCTCCCTTCCCCGCCATCACTTTCATGGTTAAGCTGGTCCTTCTCGAGGCAATGCGTGGTTTCTTTGTGGCCCAATACTGGAAAGCTTTGCCCCCTTCGGGGCCTGCTACACGTGCACACTCATGCACCCCCTGCAGGATGCGTGTGCCCGTGACACGCAGCATTTTCACCATCGTTTCCAAGGGTGCTCGGAGTTCTACCTGGTTCATCTACCGCGACTCCATGATACCTGGTACTGCAGGTGACTCAGCAATGCACTCCTCAGTGGTGCAAGTTACCTTCCACTCACTTCCTAAATGTGCATCCTCAGGATGGGTCCGCTAGGGACCCGCTGCTGTGAGACTTTGTGAGTCACATTTGTAGGTTGTTCCATTAAATTACCAAAGACTCCCCCACACCTGGGCCTGCTGAGCAGCCCAGGGGAGCCTTCTTTATGACAGGTGCTGAGCAGCCCAGGTAAGCCTCTTTCAGCAGAGGGCTCACTAATCTGGGGGCCTGGCACCCTGGGACACCAACAGTGCTGCGCTGGGCTACAGCATTCTCTGTCCCAGCTTTGGAAAGAGACCCCCACTTCAAACCATCCCCTGAGCCCACAGTGGCCTGTGCTCAGTGAGGGCAGAGCTGGGGCAGAGCCGTCTGGACTCCGCCTCCTGACCCCCACACATGGAACCCAGACAGGCTCCGTGTCCCAACAACCATCCCTGCCCCAACGACCCCACTGCCAGGGAGGCCACACTCATGAGGTAATAAATGCAGCACTGAGGACAACGCCTGGGGCCCGGGAAGGGTGCACTGAGGGGACGTGGACTGCTGGGAGCCACCCTCTCAGAGAATGAGGGTCCCCCTGTGCCTGAGGACAGGACGTGCTCCTCTGCTGCTCCCTAGCACCCTCTTCAGGTCAAAGACAGCAGTGAACACAGAGAAGACAGCAACACCAGGCACAGCACAGGGACACAGGGACCCAGGGGACCCAGGAGGACACAAAGGTGGGCCTGCTGGGCAGCTTGTGAAAAGCCTGCCAACCACGTCTTCAGACATTCCCTCACTGGACAAATCTGAGCTCAATGGTGGGAGGACGTGCGTTCCCCTAGGGCAGCACCCCAGAAGGCCAAGGGCACGAGTCGTGCAGATGAGCAGACCACAGGCGGCCTTCCATTTCAGCCTTGGCTCGAACCTTGGAAACAGAGCCTCCAAGGAGGAGAGCTGCCCGCTGCCCAGCTGCCCTGCCCTTTCTACACAGCCCACAGAGACAAGGTCGGGCTCAGCGGAACTCTGAGCTGGCAGGTATCTGCTACTGCTCTGGTCACCTTGCTTCACTCGGGTGCAGAAAAACAGTTAGAAGAGGGCAGCGTCTCTTTCCTAGGCCTGACTGGCCAGTAGCAGAGTGAGACTGGCTTGTCTGCCTGCCCGGTGCGTGCAGAGCAGGGACATGAGGCTGAGGCCTGCCAGGCCCTGGGCACACCTGAGAAGGGGGCTTTGAGTCAGGAAGCAGCACGCTGGACGTTCACCCGGAAGCTTCTGGAGGCTGCACCTGCCCCAGACAAGAATGCTCCAGCTGCGAAGGCCCAGAGAACACGGCCCCGCTGCCCTGCTCAGCCTGACGCAGCAAGGAAGGCGTCCTGGGCCCAGGCAGAGGGGACAGGCCACGGTCTCAAAGCAGAGTCTTCAAAACAGAAGAAACACACAGACAGACAAATGGGGAAGAGTGGCAGACACAGGAAGGACAGCCCGGCTGGGCAGCAGGGGCCACAGGGCTCAGAGACACGGCGGCTGGCCAGCACCCCGGCGAGGGCTCAAACGGAGGCGCGGACGGACAGCACGACCAACAAGAACAGGTGGGGTTGAGGGCTAACCTGGTAGGTCTCTAAGCCGATTGCCACTGGTCCCCCCCTCTCCCGGGTTTGCTATGAGTCCTAGAGAGAGGGAGAACACAAAGCAACAGTGACCCTCCCTCCGGCTCCCTCTGGTCTGCCCACTACTTGGGCCTCCACTGGGGCAACTGGGAGAAGCAGGGCTCCCCCACCCAGTGGGGTGCAGCCAGGCAGGACAGGTGCCCGCTGGCCCCACAGCGTGCTTCCCTCCTCACGGACATGCCTCTACGTTCACGCTTCATGGCTGCTGTGAGCACAGCCCGAGGTGTCCCGCCAGGGAGGCCGCCTCCCCAGCACAGGCTCCGCGGAGCACAGAGCTTCCAGCCTCTCACGACAATTACACGGTTTCACTCTCCTTTTGGGGACTGGTAGACAGAGCAGGCTCAGAACCAAGTGACCTGGCAGGGAGGCAGCAAAGCCCTCTGCTGGGTGCCAGCAGGGACACAGGCGAGACAACGGGTGGAAAACTGTCCCACAGGAGCAGGGCCCTCTCTTCCCAAGCCCTGTCCCCACCTTCCCGTTTCTCTCGGGGGCCCTGCTCCACGGTGGCCTTAGACAGGGGTCCCAGGAGCACAGGAAAGGACACACACCCTCTCTGGCACGAGCACTTCTGACCTATCTCCAGAGTAAGTGGCGACTGCACCCAGGCAGAAGGAGCGGGAGGTCCAGCTGGCTGCTCGCTGCTCAGCACGGCCTCACTTCTGAGGCTCAGCCTCTGCCCTGCTGAGCACGGGCCACATGGGATGGGACAGCCCTGCGCAGCCTCACCTGTCCGGCAGTTGTGAAACTCCAGCGCGCTCTCCATGCGGAAGGTCTTCCCACAGGTGCCACAGCGGTACCGGTACTCGCCGTCCACCTGGTTGAGGAGACAAGTCAGAAAGGGAGGCCCGCACGTGGGGCCAGACCACTCCCTCCTGGGCTGGCTATGCCACAGCCCTTCTCTCCTACTCCACCTAGGGGCTGTCCAGCTGCCCTAGAGGGAGAACCATGCTGGGAAACCAAACTCCAAGCACCCACCACTCCTCCCCATGCCCCGCCGACATCTACCAGGCTGGGCAGCTGGTGGAGGCCAGGGCCGGAGGACAGGGTGCAGCAGGACTCCAGGAGGCTCAGCTCCTTACAGCCTGTTCCCCAGGCTACCAGTCCACCCACCTCGTTCCTGCTGTGCTTGTAGGAGACGTGCTGCTTCAGGCTCTCCTTGCGGCTGAACAGCTTTGCACATTCTTCACACTTAAACAGCTTGTCACCTGAGGAACCGAAGGAACCAGGTCACTGCTTCAGGCACTCACCAGGCAGGCCGCCTGCTCTGCTGACGGCCCAGGTGCGTGGGAAGCTCAGTGGCCCCGTGCGGCGGGACGCGGCCTGGCACTCACCGTGGGAGCGCACGTGCCTGCTCAGGTTGCTGCTGTTCTGGAAGACCTTGCTGCAGATGCCACACTGGTGCACCCGCTTGTGCTCCCCCAGCTGCCTCGCCAGCTTCCGCCGGATGCCGTGTCTGCTGGACAGAACCAGGCTCCTCTTGAGGGCGATGGTGCTGCTCTGATGGTGCGTGAACCTGCCCAGTCGAGACAGGTGGAGACTCAGCGCCCAGAGAGCACGAGTCCAGGTTGCCGTCACCTTGGAGGGGCCTCCCACCAACACCTGCCCGAGACCGAGACTGCCAGAGAGGAGGGCAGGGCCGCGCCACCGCAGCTCCAGGCAGCTCACAGGCAAGGCCTGGACCTCAGGCAGCACCGCCAGGTGCCCTGTGACAGACACACTTCCATCAGACAGCCCGGAGCTCGGGTGGAGCCTGGACTGTACCACCTGTGTTCCAGTGTCCCTCTTGGTCCTAGTCACAGGAGCCAGAGACGCAGAGATGGAGTGAGGCACTCCTCATTGGGGTACTCTCATGCCTTACAGAGGAGGCGGGCCAACATGCGACATCATGGACAGACCTGCAGAACAGCAGGCTAGGTCCAGGGGACGACCACTGCAGGCTACTTATGTGGACCGGGCCACTGCGGGTGCCAGCAGCAGGGGAGACGGGAGTCACGTTGGATGGGGTCAGGGTTTCGTTGTGGGGGACAGGAGGTTCTGTAGATGGATGGCGGTGATGGCCACAGAACACCTGCACCTCCAGCTGAGCACTTAAAACGGCCAGAGGGGTGCGTTTCATGTCACGTGCACTTTGTCACCACAAAAAAAGCCTCAACTTCCCACAGTGGATGACCAGTAAGCTCCTGAGCTCCAGAACATTCTGATGCTTCCCAGGCATGCAGGGCTCTGAGGGCAGCTCGTGCCCACTCATGGGGCTCCCTGGGCGGGTAGCCGCGGGGCGCTCCCCCCGAGGCTGCAGCGTCCAGGCAGGACTTACTTTGGCACCGTGCCGCCGTCGTGTGTGTGAGGAGCCAGCTTTCCCAAAACCAGCTCCACCATCCGCTCATCGGGAGTTGCGCTCACAGGCTCGTCTGGCGGGACCTCGGTGATGATCTCGGCCACTTGCTCTGTGCAAAGGGGACATGACAAGCCATGTCATTCCCTGGACGGGGACAAAGCCCGTCTATTCCAGGAGCGTGTGTTCTTTATGACAGCAGAGGGCTACAATGGTGGACCCATGTGTTGAACTTCAGAAAGGAAGAGAAGTGGGCTCACTCGGAGCCCCACGCTTGTGCCTTCCCAGTACAGAGAGACAGAACAGCTCCTGGACCCAGGGAGCTTCGTCATGGTGGCTCTGTTTTAAAGCTACATCGCTGTACCGTTACTTGCCTCTCCAACACATTCTGTACAGGTAATGGAATCTTTTAATTTATAAGCTAGTTCAGACAAATGTAGAACTTTTAGAATTAGATACACCACCTTGAGAATGTTCAAAAAGCAAGTAACCATTCTGTGAAAGAGTCAAATGTCAAATACCCACAGTGACAGGCCCAGGCCAGGACAGGATGGATGAAACCTAGAAAGACCACGGCCACGTGCCGGCACACCTCTCCAGCCACGAGTGACACACCAGTGGCACACCCCTCTGCCCCTTCCCATCTTCTCCACCCGCCCGGGAGAGCAAACTGTTCCTCCTCTGTCACTTCCAAACCAGCTGGGCCGGGCGGGGAGGACAGGGAGAGCGAAGACCACTCGCAGAGCTCCTCCAACTCCAGGACTTTCCTCGTTCACAAGAAACCCCGGGGCCGCCCAGAGAGTCAGAAGAAAGTCCAGTCCAGTGGTGTGGGTGGGAGGGGCTGGCCTCTGACCACATGCCCTGTCCTCAGGCATGAGGCCACTGGGGCTCTGCTCAGCCAGCAGCTCGGGCAGAGGCCACGCGAGGACTGCAGGGCCGAGCTCTGTGGAGGCTGAACACACAGGAAGTGAGGCCCGCACGATGAGCTCCACCAGGGCCGGCCCCAGAGGCCACGCACAGGAGTGGGTGAGCAAACTGTGGGCATCCGCACAATGGGCCAGATGCTGGCAGTGCTCAGGAGACGGACACTGACAGACCTGATGGACAAGCCTCACGCCTGGACGCTCCTGTGAGAAGCTGGGAGTCCTGGCACGGGCAGCCTAATCCATGCCCAAGACCACAGGGGAGTGCTGGGAGGTGGGAGTGTCCTCTGTCCTGATGGCAGGACGGGTCACACGGTATGCTGGGTTGTCAGGCTCCATAACCCTTTTGTGTACGATGCGTCACGGGGAAACTGCATTTCACAGGGCTGAGGGGTCGGGGCGGGCTCCCACATGGCCTCTGTGTGGAGGGGAACAGGTGAGTGGTCCCAGGCCACCCGTCAGCCAGCATGGCTCTCACCTGCTGGCTCTTTGTCCTCCACGATGACCAGAGGCTGCTCCGGCTTTGATGCTTTGGGTTTTCTCCCCCTTCGAGGCTTTTTCTTCTGCTCTTTGGTGGCCCTGCTCTGGACGCTGGCACTCTCCGGCACTGCAGGGGGCTGCACCCGGGGCGGCTGAGGCTCCTTCTCTGGGGCTGCCTCATGCTGGCTGCCGGCAGGAAGGCCTTTCGCTTGCTCCAGGTGGCCCAGGAGATGCTCTGCAGGAGGGAGCGGCAGTTAGGAGCAGTGTGCCCGCCCTGCCCCGTCCTGTTCCCACAGTGGGCCCTCGGCACGGGAAACGAAGACCACATGCCACTGCACCCAACACAGCCAGGCCAAGCCTCCCTTCTCCGACGTGCCCACGGCCGGAGCTTTTCAGACTCAGGAGGACTGTGGACTTGGGGTTTCAGAACGTCACAGCCTTTCAGATTTTGGATTTTCAGAGGAGGGATGCCCAATTTGTAAACCACGTGAGGAAGGCAGGGCAGGTTCACCACAAAGGCAGCTTTGCACACCATGAAAGCACACGCAGACACGGGCACAGAACACACGCACAGGGCGCCCTCTTCTGTGATGCAATTACAGGTGACACCTCTAAGCTCATTTTTATTTTCTATTTATTTTAGTTTTATTTTCTTATTTTTATTTTTAGTTTTTCTGCAGTGAATAAGTGGTACTTACTAAAAAGGTAGCATCTGAAGAAGACGATTAAGAAAAACTCAACCCATAATAAAATTTTCTTTAAAAATACTACATCAAAGCAAAAGGGCTTTGCTCTGTTTTCAACTTGGGAAAGCCTGGGAGAGTGCAGTGGGCAGATCACAGAGAGCACAGGAAACGGCAGGCAGGAACGGCACTCAAGGCCAAGGCGGCCACCATGGCAAATGGAAGGCAAGTGGCTCAGAGGAGCTGAGCTGCCGGGCACAGAAAGGAGGAGGAGGGAGTGGCCAGGGGACGAGGGGACCGGGCACATGCAGAATGGAGGCCCCTCTGCAAACTCGTGCCAAAGATCAGTTCTTCCCATGGAAAACCTGAACTATTCAGCATGGGCACAGGCTCAAGAGGCTATTTCTCCTCGTTGGTTCAGTATTTGGAGGAACCTTGCAGGAGAAGCAGCCCCCAAACCCAGGTCCAGCGTAGGAAAGACAACAAGAAAGACACAGCCAATGTCACACAGCCAACCAGCAGGACAAGTGGTCGACGCGCCCACCTGACTGAAAACACGGGGAGGCAGGTGCCCAGCAAGGGAAACGGGGCCTCTGCCCAACACACAGAGGGAGCTGACAGCCAGAGCGTGGGCACACGCTGAATCAGAGGCACGCCGGGCTGTGGCCGTGGGACAGGCTCTTAGTGCACTCAGGGCCCAGGGGCTGGGAGACGCGAACTCAGGTCCATAAGACAGGCACTGTGGCACACCTATGATCTCAGTGACTCAGGAGGCTGAGGCAGGAGGATCATGGGTTCAAAGCCAACCTTAGCAACTTAGTGAGGCCGTAAGCAATTCAGTGAGACCGTATCTTTAGATAAAATATGAAAAAGGGCTGAGGATGAAGCTCATTGTTAAGCACCTATGAGTTCCACATGGACTGGGAGACACAGGCTCAGTTGGCAGAGGGCCGGGGGCTGGGAGATGAGGGCTTCCTCTCCCCCATGCACCCAGGTGTGGCAGGCATTTGTGACAACTTCTGGCCATCTGTCAGACACCTTTCCTGTGCTCTGCGACATCTCCCCATCTGTGCCCCACCTTCCCAGGAACCCCCTCCCGGACCTCTGCAGGTCTGCGGCCTGGCTCTGGGGCAGTGAGGAAGCAGCAGCCCCGGGACGTGTTTCCTGGCAGGTCGGAGCAGGCGTCTGCTGTCCAGGCTGCAGAGTTTGGCTGGAGCTCAGTGCCAGTGTGGGTGGCGGCGCCTGAGCCCAGGGGTCTGCTGCAACAGCCCTACGGCGGGCGTCGCTCCTTCTCACCCTTCCTGGGGATCCTGCTGCCTTAACGGCCTGGACCTGCCCCTTCCCATTCAAGCACCAGCAAGCGAGGTCTGTTGCTGGAGCAGCAGCCAGTGGGAAGGTGTCCTCCTGTCTGGACAGAGGCCCTCTTTTTCCAGTGGTCCATCCTCCAGCTTCCGGGGGTCAATGACATAGGGGTTCAAATTGAAACCCCTGCCCCGTGTGAAAATGCCCTTGTTCAAACCTAACCTGTAAGCAACACCTGGCTGGGAAAGTGTTTTCATCTGGGGCAAAGCAGGGTGACGCCATTTGGATTCTGTGTCATGTGTCATTTGCCCTCTCTGTCTCTCTCTCAGGCTCTTCTTCTTCTAATCTCAAGTTTTCATTCATCAGGTGCCGCTGGCCCCTCCAGCGTGGAACCCAGTCCTCAGGCTCTGGGCATGTCCTCTGCCCTCCCCTTCCCCTGACCGCCCCTGGCCATGCAGGGCGGCTCGGGTCCTGCAGCCTTCTCACCTCTTCTCAGGGCGTGCTGTCTCCATGCCCTTCCTCCTGGAAGACTCCCCCATGCTGTCCTCTGCGACCACAGCTGTTCTCTCCCGTCACCTGCTGTCCTGCAGTCTGAGACAGCATGCTGCCCTGGCTTCCAGGTGCAGTGTCTGCCACTCACCGACTGCTACCTCTTGGGGTTCTGGACTTGGCTTGGTTTTCAGTTTCCTCAGAACAAGCCATTTTGAAGGGTGGTTTGGGGGTCTTCTCTTGCACTGGACTTTCTTCAATGTCCACAACACTCATGTTCCAGATGGGTGCATGGGGGTGTGGCTGGGCTTCCCTGCAGGATGGTTGGGGTGAGTGGCCATGTTGTGGGGGACAGCCGTCTCTTCTTTCGGACTGGCCAGTTTCTCCCTAGGGATTCCCTCCCTGGAATGAACCCTGACCGCCCCTGTTCTGGGAGAAGGATTCTACTTTGGAGAAAGACATGAGGGAGAAGGCAAAGGGCCTCACATTTCAGGACTGAGACTTGCCGAGTCCCCGGGGCTCAGTTCCACTCCTGGTGTCCCCAGTCTTGTGTTCCTCTGTGCTGGCCCCTCCTGAAGGGGGACCCTTGGCCTTCTGCTGGGCCGACAGGGCAGTGATGCAGCTGAGGAATGGGGCAGCGAGCACGCCAGGCAGACTCCCAGCGACTGCCCTGTCCTCTCCTCCAGGCACGTGGCACTCCCAGCTGCCCACACTTCTGGAGCGCTGTGGCAGGAGTGGATGTGCTTCCTGGGTCCTGGCCGGTGTCAGTGGCTCCTGCTGGCTTGGTAGACGTCACCGTCCCACCTGCTGGCTTCCAGGCTGGCCTGCTGCCTCACGCTCCCCACTCTGTATAGACCCGTCATTCCCACAGGATTCCAGAGGGCACTCAATTAGTGCACCCACCGATGCTCCCCACCCAGCCAGGGCCTCGGTGGACTCCTGAGGCGTGAGCAGGCTCCGTGGCACCCAGGACAGCTGGCCCCTCAGGGGAAAGGACGAGAGCATCTACTTCCCCAGTTAACAACTGCCCCTGGGTCCTGGCCCTCTGCACAGTGGCCTGAAGTGCACAAGCCAACTGCCTGAAGTCACGCTTCCTCCAAGTTCAGCGAAGGAGAAACACAGAAGTTCAAGTTCAAAGTTGGTTTGGAAGTTAACCAACCTCCAGGGCCCTGAAGCTGTAAAATTGAGCCTCCTCATGTCAGACAGGTGAGCCTCCCAGACACTGCCCCGCGGAAGGCAGCTTTGGCACGGTGTGGCCATGCGCCATGTGGCGCCGCGGAGTCCTCGTGCTCCCTGTGACAAGAAGGCAGCACTGCTGGTGCAAATGCATGGTCCATCCTCTGCAGACTGGCTCACCACAGGCTTGGACCTGTCCTCAGTGCCAGTCCACGGTGACACAGGGCCCTCCACCCTCAGCTCCTGGGCCATCAGGTTGTCCACAGGACACCCCAAGAGAGGCTGCAGCAGAAAGGAAAGCCTGTGATCCTGTGGGGGGTTCTGTAGGGTAGGCTGAGGTCAGCAGGGCCCAGAGGCAGGCTGGGCTGCCGCACGACCTGGCAGGTCATTGTCCACTCTGGCCTCAGTATGCTCATCTCAAATGGGTGCCGAGCCATTCAGAGGCTGTTGGAGACCTCAGTCAATGTGTGCTGGTAGAACTCTACCGCCAAAGTGGGGGCATAAAACAAGAAGTGCTCATGAACTGAGTGACCACATTTCACTCAGGTGCGCTGCCCCTGCTTGCTAGAGTCCCTGCAGCTGGACCTTGTCCATCTCAGATGGCACTCCTAGGAAGCTCAGAAGCAGCTCGCTGCTCCCACCTTGCAACAAACACAGAGGCTTCTCACTGCCCGAGTGTGCGATACACCCTGGCCAGGGTTAGAAGGCCATCCCAGGACACAGGACCCGAGCACCAAAGCCAGCAGCATCTGTCTCTAAGAGATGGCCACTAAAGAGTGGCCCCTTCCGGTCTGGGAGGAAGCCCCTCACAGGTTCCAGCACGTCCCAACTGCAGGTGATGGAGCAGGGGTCATCCTGCACCCCCAGTCCAGCAGCTGCCTGGGCCACGTCCTCACAATCACCTCCGAGGCCCCGCCTCTGAGCACATCCCACAGAGAATACAAGGTCCTGAGAGTCCCCGGGAGGCAAGAGGAAAAGTCCTCCCCAAGCAGAAGAGTGAAGACGACCCTGCGCAAGCCCAGCCATCCTGTGGACAGGGCTCTAACCCATCCTGTCCCCGGCCGGCCACTAGACGGGTAAGGCAGCCTGAGCAGACAAGCACCCTGCAGAGGAAGCAGCAGAGCTGGGACAGCAGGGGGGCCCATGCCCACCTCAAGCCCCTCAGCAGGCGGCTGTGTGGCCATGACAGTGGGGGGCTGGCCGGCCCTGAGGAGGGAACACGGGGCAGACAGGACAGAGCTGGGACAGGCCGGGAGCCATGGGGAAGAGGTAGTGTGCATGGGGGGGCGACGCGGCCCCCCCACTGGCGGCCGTCCCCCACCCGCCAGCGGCTGCCCTTACCGTTGAGGAGCTGCAGCTCGAGGAAGGCGCTGGAGCACACCTTGCAAGCCCACGGGCTGCGCTCCGACTCCACGGGGCCGCTGTGCTCGGGGGTGCCTGCAGCTGAGACAGAGGAGCAGAGGTGAGCGGCCAGGGTCCACGGAGCCCCAGCTGGGAGAACAGACCCTGGCGGGTGACAATGACAGTGACATGCCAGCAGCAGCAGCCCAGGCTGCAGTCTCAAGTCTCAGCTTTGTGCACACAGACCCTGTTTCACAGGTGAGGAACCAGAGAGCAGAGGCAGTGTCACAGCCACCCTCTGCAGGGGCCAAAGCCGGTGGGACCAGGCGCACCCCTTATAAGGCCTCAGGAAGAAAGTGAGCAGTGGGTGCACTTGCGTCCCAGCTCCCCAGAATGGGACACTCTCAGGGCAGCCCCAGGACAACCACAGGCCTCTCCTGACTCCTCTGCCGTGTGCCAGGCCACATTCCACGAAACCTTTGCCACGCCAGCCAGCAGGACACACAGCCGTCCCCAGCCAGCAGGACACAATACTGTCCCATGTGGCTGCTTATGTCACGCCATGGCTGTGCTAAGAAAGACCATTCTCAAGTGAGACTCCCTTCACTTTAGAGTAAGAAGGAGAGTCGGCGTCCACCCCTGGCGGGCAGCCACTCCTCACGATGACAACAGGTACCCTGAGCTCCCTTGGGCAGGGGTCCTGAGAGCCGTAGGAGACCACTGCTTTGCAGGTCAGAATGTCCAATTCCCATAATCTCACACGGTCTCTTAAAGTTACATGACGAGGTCCCACGCCCACAATGTGGGGAGGACAACCTGGAATCCCACCCACCCTGCTTCTGGGGTGGAGATGCGCCAGACCTGACCAGCACCACAACCGTGGATCTGCTTCTCCAGCAGACACACGGGGCAGACAGGGTACTTGCATGGCACCTGCCGAGTCTTTCCTTGCACATACAAACTTGTACACACACCTGTGTACCTATGCATCTATGCACAACACTAAAACATGCTTGTGTATGCACCAACACACAGACACACACCTAAGTACCCCTGCACACCTAAGATGCACACACCTATGCACCTACACACAAAGACACGCTCATGCCTAGGCACCCCTGCACAGATGTGCACATGTCTGTGTACCACGCACACCTAAGATGCACCCACACTAAGACACATGCCTAGGCATAGCACTCACACCTGCACACATGTGCACGTGCACACACACAGTCCCCGAGGCAGGGTGCAGGCTGCTACTTGGGGCAGAGCAGCAAGACTGCAGCTGGATTTGGGGTTCCGGTAGGGGTTCCTTTACCTATTACACTGACCTTGAGCCCGTTCCTGAACCACTCTGACCTCAGGGATAAATTCCCCACACAGCACTGGGGGGATAAGTCACCATGGGAGGCCAAGCGCATGGCCATTGTCCCCTATCCTATCCTATCCAAGAGCCCCAATTTACCTGGAGGGGCTGAGGTGGCACTCCTCACCAGCAAGAATCCCAAGGAGCGGAAGCTTCCACCTGCCTGTCACCTGAGCTCAGCAAGCAGGTCCACAGACCCAGTGTGCAGGCCTCGCTGTGTGTGCTACCCTCTGTCCACCCACCCGCCTGGCCCGCCCTACCCACAGGAGCTGGGAGACGGTCACGGGACCCACCGTGGACGCTGGAGCAGGCCTGCTTCAGCATGGGCTTGTCCATCTTCTTGGCGTAGAAGGCCGCATACCACACGCGCAACTCAGCGCCAGCAGGGATGTCCCGCGAGGTGGTGAAGTACACGTCACTGCCGTGCTGGAAGGCCGTCAGGTTCTGGTGCCCGGGCTCCACTGCCGGCCGCACCAGCATCATCCAGTTGCAGTCATCCTCGTTGGAGGTGTCGAAGCACACAGGGTGGCCGTCCTGCTGGAACACCTGGGGTGCGGCCAGGAGCGGGGTCTCAGGGGCCCGCCTGGTGCATCGTGCCCAAGGCCTAGGGGCCCCACGGGACCTGTGCAGGGACCTAGGTGTGCAGTCAAAGGGAGACCGCGTGGAAGGGGCGGATGGGCGGCCATAGGCAAAGGAAGCAGGAGACACAGTGGGCGGCCCCTGTGTCATCAGGATACCCGAGTTCTACCCGTGACCCGAGGGGACCTCCTGCTCAGGGCCTGGGTCTGAAAGAGCCCACAGCCTGGTGAGCAGATGCAGGCCGGGCAGGGGAATCCACGTGCTCTGGTTCCAGTCAATCCCACAGGGGCAGGGCCCCTACGTTCTAGTTGACCATGGTCCCTCACTGAGGGAGACCCCGCCCCTCGCCTGAGCTTTTCCTGCAAATCCATACAACATCCCCCGGCTGTTTCCAAGGTCTGGAATCACTGGACTCAGCAGCCCCCGCTGGCCGTGCCCTCAGGAACGGTCACAAGCCCTCAGTCCTGAAACTCCTGCAGCAGCTTCACCTTCAGGGGAAATGCGGATTCCTTCTCCCACTTGGCCACCCTCCTGGACTCGAAGGGGCCAAACTGTGTCCGCTTGACCAGCTGCGTGACGGCGAACACGCCTTCCGCCCCATCTTCCAGACGTCGGATCTCCAGGTTGGAAGGCAGGGAAGACCTGGAAGTGAGAGGACATGACTCCTGGGAGGCTCTGCCTACCTGCCCCCTGGGCAGCAGCAGAGCTCAGGGACTGGGAGCTCCTCCCTGACCACCACCAGGTGCTGAGGTGACTCTCCAGATAGCAGCAGGAGAGCTCTCCTCAGCTGCTCCACAGCACTGCGGCCAGATCGTAATGACCCCCAGGCCTGGTCACCCAGAGACCACCTCCAGGCCAGGCAGATGTGCCTGTGCCCACGATGTTTACCAAAGGACATGGTTAAGAACCCCACAAAAGACAGGGAGCCCAATTAAGATGGGTTGTTGCCTTCAAGGGCGGGAGGAAGAACTTAAAGGGGTCGGGCATGCCAAGGACCAGAATAGGGTACCAAGGGGTCGGGCCGCTGTCTCACTGAAGATGTGGCCTTTTTCCCACCATGTTTTTTACTGATGCATCATAGCTGTACAAGGTGGCGGGATCTGCTGTTACCCATCGGTACATGCGCACCACAGAACAGTACTCTTCCTGAGCACTGAAGTGGCCTTTTCAATTAACCGAGAAGGTCAAGGGCAGGGCTGGAGGAGAAGACCACATGAACTGGGGCTTTGGCATGGGACAAGGGTTGGACCAAGATGTGGCCAAAAGTACAAGTGGAGAGAAGCACAGACCCCGTGGGGGCAAGCGGGGGCTGGGCTGGTATGAGGAGCCCAGCACCGGGGCTCTGACTGTGTGGCCAATGTCCCCCCTGGATGCTCCTGGACAACGGGCAATGCCCTGAGGGTTTGGGGAAGAGGAGAGTTGATCAGCTCTCTGCTTTGGGCAAAAAATATTCACTTCTTTGTTTTGAATACACTAAGTCTGTCTGAAGCAAAACAAATAAGTGGGCTGGGGTGGGGCAGCTGGGGGCTTCCAGAAACTGCACTGACGTGCCAACAGCCATTGTTTCAGCCTCACCTGTGCCTGGCACCATCACAGGTGAGACCACAAGCCCACAGCCTAGCCGTACCTTCTCTACATTTTAGAGATGACTGAGTCTTGGGAAGGAACACACCATGCCCAAGTTCACAGGGCTACACGTGGCAGACCTGGCATGGCCTCCCTTGCCCTGGCCCCAGGGGCGGCCTGCACAGTGAGGGATGGGGAGCAGCTGTGGCCGCAGACACCTCCACACACCTGCAGGTGCTTTTCCAGGGGCTGCCGTGGCCTGGCCTCATTGCCTGGCCTCCCTGCCCGGGCTGCCACCCAGCCACCTTGCCTGTGGTGTGCACCTGTCAATGGGCAGGTCTGGATCCAGAACCCGGGGGAAACCCCAGAAGCAGACCCACAGCTTGGCCACTGCTGCTCAGGGCGTAAAGAATGCAGCCCGCCCAGAGGTGGCCCGGCCCCCAGAACATCCCACTGCGTGGGACATGGCCTCTACCTCCTGCGCTCGCCCAGCGCCCTACTCACACTCGCACAGGCCTCACTCCTCTGGCTCCCCACTCCTGTCTATAGACACCCGCCCCACAGAGGACCCGCCACAGACAGGGCTATGAGGCAACTCAAGGCCATCACTCACCTTGCCCTGCTCAGCACGAAGGAGTCCTTGACCATGACCACTGGGCCCAGCTCAGGACACTCGGAGTCATGGTACTGGCTACAGTCTTCACACCCTGCAAACAGACACGGAGTGTCGGAGGGCACAGTGCACAGGGAGGGAGACACCCGAAGCCACAAGCCCAGGACGCAGGGACCCTGCAGAGCACGGCTCCCCTTTGTAATCCCCAAACAGAGCCTACACAGACACCACGCCCCTCCCCAGAAGAGCTCCAGCTCTGCATCCCAGTCCCACACCACCTCTGTGGAGGCCAAGACCAGGACCTTCCCAAGGGCAGGGTGCCAGAAAGTCCTGAGGATGGTGGGAGGCCGGGCAAGCACCGGCCTGCCTGTCAACCCAACATGCGTCCCTGTCTCTAAACCCTGGACTCTGTTTTTGAATCGAGGGCTACCCTGCAACGCGACCCTGCCAGGAGTCCTGAGGACGATGACCCTGGACACCCCACCCGGGCAGGGCACCGCTGTGCAGCGAGCCACGTCCTCCAAGCAGTTTAAAAGGAAAAGACTTCTGTGTTTTTGTTTTTGATGGAAGTGGTTTTGCCCAGACAGCAAGTGTCCGGCCCTCTGTGTTCCTGGCCCAGATGGGTCTGCGAGTCACTTACAGATGAACATGATCTCTTCGCTGCCATCTTCCGCCATCTTCACACCTGTCAGGACACAAGAGAACCAATTACTGATGTGCTCCCCCACCCAGCGTTTTTGGTTTTGTTTTTTTTTGGTTTCATGGATTGAACCCAGGGGCACTGGACCACTGAGCCCCATCCCAGCCCTATTTTGTACTTTATTTAGAGACAGGGTCTCACTGAGCTGCTTAGCAGCTTACTGAGGCTGGCTTCGAACTCGCAACTCTCCTGTCTCACCTCCCAAGCCACTGGGACTACAGGCCTGTGCCACTGTGCCCAGCCAGAAGAGCGTTTTTAAACACAGAGCCCAGCAAGGCCTCCCCTGACCCATGCAGGGACGTCTGTGTGCTGCAAGGAACAGCGGGTAGCACCGCTCAGGGGAGGTCTCTGGGACACTTCCTCACTTAAAAAAATCACTGTTTTTAATGAACCCAGAGGATGGGAAGGGCCTTGTGACTAGGAGTCCTCGTGACTCAGACTCCACCTCATCACCTTAGGCCTCAGTGTCCACTGGTGACACAGACACCAGCTGCCAGCCTTCACACTGCCCCTCCTCCGTCCTCCATCCCAGGAGCAGTCACGTCTAATGCGGCTGGTTTCCCTGTCTCTCCTTGTGCCTCGTGTCCCATAAACTCCCTACACATGACATCGCGGAGGCGCTCCTGCTCCACGCAGACCTTGGTCAAATCTGGCCCCTTCTGTTTCCCACCTATCCTTTGGGGGCCACCTTAAAACCACCTCCATGATGGGCAGCGGGGCGCAGGGCCCCCGCCCCCGCATGGCCTCGCACCCCTCCCGCCTTCCCTCTGGGCCTCTGCTGGGCCTCTTATCAGGAGAGTGTGCATGCTGGTTCCCAATGCTGACCCCACTCTCCCTCCGCCCACCGGCCCCAGCAGCTGGGAGACTGAAAAGCAGGCAACACGCAGCCCAGATGCACATTTGGGTTCACCGAGCACACGTGTGGTCATGGACGGAGCAGAGCAGAACCCTCCATGATGAGAGGGAGTCAGCTACACGGACACGAGGCTGAGGAGGCGGGCTGCCAGGTCTCCTGTAAGCAGCCAGGGACAGCCACGGCGTACCTCCCATCACCGCACAGGGCCCCTGAGCACGTGCACACCGACACTGAGCTGTGAAGCATGAGCACCGCTGGCTGGAACCACGCCTTCAACACGGGTTTTAGGGGACATTAAGATCCAAGCCATGACAGACAAGGAGGCAGATGCGCGCGGTGGGCTGGGGGCTGCTCTGACGGCGGCTCCTGTGGCACTGGGCCTAAGGACCTACACACCTGCCACAGGACCCCTCCCCTCCCCTCTGCCCTGCCTGAGTCAGGAGCGTCTGTAACGGGAACAGCAGGTCTCGGGAGGCCACCCAGGGCTGCAGTCAGACCCCAGCAGGGCACAGAGTCTGAGGATGTGAGCACCGGAGCAGAGAGAGCAGGGACTCGTTCCTGCGGAGTCCACCGAGGCCGGCTGGCCGCCTCTTTCTGGGGCAGCAGCTGCCTCTGACCTGCACCTCAGACAGCCCCGCCCTCCATGTGCCCCGTAGAGCTGCAGGGAGAGGACACCTGGCTGAGCTGCTGGAGGAGAAGTTTCAAGACACAGCAGGAGGGCGGGCGCTGCTCACATGGCGCTCATCGAACAGCTTTGGGGACAACACTCTCAGTAACCTGGTCCCCAAAGGGTGGCCTCTCTGAACAGCTCTTCGCAGCCCAAGACAGAGACCACAGCCTCCCCGGGCAGCGTGCAGGGACAGCACATCTGCTTCAGGAAAATGGCACCCTCCCCTGCCCAACACGTGCCGATGGAGAAGGGGAAGTCCAGTCCCGCATCTGGCCCACAGGACCCCCACAGTGAGGTCACAGGATGCTCTGGTGCACACAAAAGGGAGGAAAATAGACGGAAAGCATGAGCGTCTGTCGTCTGACCACCAGTCCTGCCTCCCCAGCTGTGCTCAGTGTGGACCCCGAACCAGGAGGCAGCAGGACCAGTGTGGCCTGGAATTTCCTGGAAATGTAAACCCTGACCCCACCCAGAACTTCGATGGGACTCCGTGGGGCCAGCAAGGGCTCCCACGGCCCCTAGGGGAGACCCCCACAGCCCAGGTCTAAAGTGCGCTGCACCAGGACAGGCCAGGACACCAGGACCTCCCTTGGTGTGGCAGGAAGAGTGGACCTCAAGCAAATGTCCTGTGTGACTACTCACACCGGAGCTTCCGTGGCAGCCACAGTGGTGACAGGCCTAGAGACACGAAGGGAGGGATCACTAAGGGAAGAAGCAAGCAAACCATCTTCAAAAACATGCGCAGCACAGTTCTGAAAGAAGAGATAGGTCAGCAGGTAAGCAGAGAGGACTTCTGCGGCCATTCTGAGAGGCCTCTTCAGACCCCAGTCCCGAGGGTGCTGCATACCTGCAGGCCAAGGTCAAGATCTGAGAGACTCTGCTCAGGATGATAGCCTCCGAACATAACCGGGCAGAGGGCACTTCCCAGGCACACTGACTATCAAGCTGAGGAGCCACAGTCCACAGCTGGGCTCTGGGGTCCTGCTGTAAGGGGACTGGTGGCCAGAGCCCAGGAACACCTGCTACCGCCGCGTGCTAGAAGTGAAGCACCTGAGCTGGCCACGGCCCCCCTCAGCCTGTCTCCTCCTCTGTACCACGAGAGGCTAACTGGACTCTCTGCGTGCCTTGGACCTGCTTAAACTCTAGGCCATCAGTGCCACAAGTGTCCTCCGACTCCTCCTCCCCTCCTCCCTCCTCCTCCAGCGCTGCCACACCTGGGTCGACCTAACCACTGTGGCAGTCCAGTGCAGACAGCACACTTGCAACACTGCGGGCCCAGGGCAAATCCAGCTGTCGCCTGCCGACCCCACAAAGCTGGAACTCGGGATCCTGGCATGGACCATTCTGTAGCTTCCCTCTTCCTGACCCCACTCCCCGGCACACAGTGCCCTCTTCTCGCCAAAGGAAGGGGCTCCCTTCTGGGCCGCCCCGGCCCTGCGCTGCTCTCGGCCAGGGTTCACCTTTTCTTCTCCGGCCTTCTCGTCAGCTTCAGAGGATGGAGCTGTATGAGCCACACCTTCCTTCCCGGCCAGAGCCACACGCCAGGAGGGCAGACCCAGCTGCCGGGGCGTGGCGGGCCTGGTACAGGTTCCCAGGCCGCAGGTCGGGCGCTGCTCTGCCCACAGACGTCTCCACACACCACTTACTTGGCCTCTGCTTCCCCACCTGGCCCTGCCACCATGGTGGCCCAGGAGAGCAGAGTGGGCACTCTAGAGTCCTGTTGCACATGTCCTAGACTACAGCGGGCACCAGACAGTGGGCCTCTGCCGCAGTCAGGGACTGAGCACTGCATCTGCTCAAGGTGTGGACTCCTCGCTGGGCCTGCAGACACCCAGCGCACAGCCCAAGGTGCCTTCCTTTTGTATCTGTCCTCCCACATCAAACTGCGGGGCGGAGCCCGCTCAGCTCTGCACACAGATGCGGTCACCACTACGGAGGTCCATCTAAAACCTGGCATTGCAGGTGGACTGACCCTAAGTGATGACCTAACTGACCTTGTGCCCCTTCAAGATGAGGACACCAAGGGAACAGCAGCTACCATATGGTCAAGAGGTCGCCCCCGAGGGGAACTGGGGGCTCCTGGGGCAATAACGATGTCAGGACCTCACAGCATTGGGAGATGTTGACGAGCCAGACCCCAGTTTGACGAGACTGCTTCTCAGGCGTCCATCCCCCCATGGTTCTTGGTGACTTGACACTCAACTGAATGGGGCTGGGGATGCTTGATCCCCTGTCGTCCCAGTATGTCAATCCCTGTCCCGCCCCCAGACCCACAGGCAGATCTCCAGCCTACTCTCTGGCTGTCCTGTGGCCTCTGCTGCTGCCCCTTAGCCAGCGTTTGTTCACGGGACGCACGAGCTTGCATGCTCACCTGGCATCCCCCCAGGTCTGGTAAGTCAGAGTGTGGGACGCGTGACTCTGAAAACCTCTGGGCATCAACACGTGTGCCACACGTCTCCAGCCCGCCTCTGAAGTCTGCTGCTTGTTTCGGGCTGGCTTGGTTCTGGTGCATAGTTCTGCTTGCTGCTTTGTGTGCGTGTGCGATGACGCTCTGCTGCACAGGGAAGCCGCAGTACTGGGTGTGCTTAGCTGTCTCCTACGGGCCCTGTGTCCTGTGCCGGCTGGCGGGCCTGGGTGGGTCTGGACGTTGTGCCTGTGTGCAGAGGCCCTGCAGATGCTGTGGAGCAGGGGCAGCAGGGCCGCCTTCCCACATCCTCCGCAGCTTCCTAGCTGTGGGCCTGTTCCTGCCCACTGTCTCCTTTCCTGGGTCCACTCCCTGGATCTGGGGACATTCTCCCTGGAGCTTCCCTGGCTGACAGGGACCTGGAGGTCCATCTTCTGGATGTCCCCACAGCCACCAGTCTGATTTCTTTGCGGCTGGCAGAGGCCCCAGGTGCCACTCCACCACAGCACCCTGGAAGGTCGGCCTCAGCGTCACGCTGGGCAGCCCTGGGGCAGCCCTCTCCGCCTGGCACTGTGTCCCGAGCCCTGAGGTTTCTGTCACTATTTCTTCTCTGTTCTCTTTCTGAACCTCTTGGCTTCCCCCCAAAGGACATCTGCGTTCTCATTTTCACTTCTGGTTCTTTAAGAGGAATTTCTGGGCCAAGAGGAGAGAAAGGCGCGCGCCCTACCATCTCCACATGGTCAGAGGCAGAGTGGACCCTCGCCTGGGTCAGCACCCGACCCGCCAGGTGTGCACTGAGCAGCCTGGTCAGCAGGGCTGCGGCGGGCTTGTTGCCCAACAGTGCTGGAGTAGCAGGTTTTGCTCACTCCACGGCCACCAGCAGCATAACTAACGCGCCCATTAAACCCACAAAATTACAAATTCACACATTTACACTTACAAAGAGCAAAGACCTGCGTTACAATACCTGTGCACACCCTTCTCAAAGGCAGGGCCCTGGTGCAGGTGTCCTTCCTCCCCAGAGTGGTGGGAGCGAGAACCCAAATGGTCCCACTGGGCAAGTCAGTGGCTGACAGCGCTGTTGCACCTGAGCCGTGTCATTCGTCCGAGGTGGAGGTTTCCGATGCTTGGGCAAGGTGACCTGTGACCTGAAGCCCAGACTGCTGCACCGCCAACAGGCCAAGCAGAGCCAGGACAGACAGTGCACACCAGGCAGAGAGGAGCAGGGCCTCTGAGAATCCACCTCCACTCGAGTTTGTGGCAACGGGAAGCTGAGGGCCACTGGAGCTCATCCACCCCACAGACCTGGGACACCCAGGATGCAGCGCCTGACAGACTGCAAAAGCAGGTTCTCTCTCACATACTCTCACCATGCAAGAGGGAGAGAAAGGTGTGCACCCTACCATCTTCACATGGACGGAGGAGGCCTCATGGAGGCCTCAGTGGATGCCAGCACCGTGATCTCGAGCTTCCAGCCTCCAGAGTGCTAAGGTTTAATTTCTTTTCTTTATAATTTACTTAGTCGGTCATATTCTGGGATAGCAGCAGAAAACAGGCTAAGGCAGAAACTGCCCTCCATCTGTCAAACTCTTATTCAGTTCTTAAAGCCCAACCCAAATGCCCCTCCTGCCCAAAGTCCTCTTGGCTACGACTGCCACACGACACACCACACCTCTCCCTACAGCACCCAAGACACTCAGAGCCCAGCACTAGCACACACTGTGTGCCTGCAGGTCCCTTCCCCACGCAAATCTCCGTTTCTCTGTCCCTTCTACTGCTGAAGTCCTCCTAGAGGACTGGCCCACTTCACCCCTCCTTTGGCATGTGAGCGGGCTGCCTCTGGCTCCACCAGACCCCTGCCCGTGTCTGTCCTTCCTCCAGTGACTCCCGGCAGGGAGGCCCCGGCCCCCCTGGATATCCTTCTTGAGCTACAGTCTCCTGGTCACTTTCCCTCTGGCTGGACGCTCCTTCCTTGGCCCCTTTACTGGCCGCCCCTCCATCCAGCATCCCGAGCCTCCACAGTGGACGGCCCAGGCCGGCTCCTTGGTCCTCCCTCCCTCTAGTTCTGACCAAAGCCAGTGCTCCACAGCCCTTGCTCCTTCCCAGGCCCTCTCTCTGTGGCAGCCTGATGCCTGCTACGATGTGTGGGAATCTCTTCACCTCTCTCCACCAGGGTCTTGCTCTTTCCTGCATTCAGCTGACAGCTTGCCCTGTTCACACCAAGTTTCAAGAGCTACAAGGGACATAACTTGACTTTCTAAAATAAAACCGTTGTCACTCTTGTAAATCTACTGATATCTGCACCTACGCTGAGATGGCCTGCTATCTACAGCACATGTGAACAAACCCTTCTGTGGCCACAGGAAGCTGACCACATTTCTGCTCCATCCATTCCTGCTTCTACCACTGCAGAACTCAAGCCCAGTGCCACACGCTGCGCTTGAGTCTCCTCTACTGATGCCTCACTGCAACTTTCTGCAACACACAGTGTGTCAGGACACTGGCCTTGATTCTGCAGGACCGCAGGCTGGCGGCTGCTTCCGGCCGTCGCTGTGTTGCCCGCAACACCAAACAAACATCACGACCTCACAGCAAGCTGTGCTCAAGCAGGTGGACGGGCGTTCTTCCCACCAGTCCCGGGTGGACAAATGTTCCCCTCTGCAGCTCTCCTCCCCAGCACACGAGCACCTGTGGCCTGGGAACAGGTGAGACGGAGTGGAAGGTCTGCACATGGGCCTTGGGCTGCCCCCAACAGTCCCAAGCACATAGCTGCAGACAGCCTGCAGGACCCTGCTAGCCACTGAGGGTCTGTCCCCGCCACATAGCTGGACCAAGGGCCCATGCCCCAGCCCTCACCATGAGTCTCCTGCTCTGCAACAAGAGGGGTCCTTCCTCAGTAGGAGTCCCTGGAGGACAGGCCCATGGCACCCAGCCCTGTGCATCATCCCTGCCCACCTGGCAGCCCTCACCACTGTCTTACCCATGATTCCTATTGCTTCTTGTCTACACTGCCTCCCCTACCTGCCTGAACTGGGGTCCCACCCACAGGGACGGCTGAAGGTTGCCTGGCTGCTGGGGCCCTGAGGTCCCCTTGCCACCCACCCCTGAGGGCCCAGCAGTACTCTGCACCTCAGTGAGCCGCTGTGCCAAGGCCCACTGTACCCATCTCACCAGGGCAGGGCCTGCCCCACCCATGGACAGCTCAGTCCCCACCTGGCTCCCCTCTGTGGACACCTGTTTGAATGAAGTCCTGTTGGGCCTGGATTCCTGTCACACCCACTCAGCAGCCATAGGGTCATCTAAGAACACAGACCCTGCTCCAGCCCTGCTCCAAGCCCCCAAAGGAACCTGTGGTGCTCAGAATAAAAATGCAGTCCTGCTGCCTCCCCTCTTCTTCACCACACTGGTCTCTCCATCCTTGAGGCCCAAAGCTTATTCCCACCCCAAGGCCTTTGCAATTGTCAGGCATGTGTCTGGGATGAATTCCTTCTGATCTCCAGGAGGCTGCCTCATAGCACTGGTCTCCGTTCAAACGCCCCTCCTCAGGTGACCTTTCTGGTCCAGCTCCCTGGGTGCACCATCCTGCCCGCCTGGCAGCCCCATCCCTGTCCTTTCTTCTTCATGCCCTCACCACTGTCTTACCCAGGATTCCTATTGCTTCTTGTCTACACTGCCTCCCCTACCTGCCTGAACTGGGGTCCCCCAGGCTTTCTCTTACTCAGTGCTGGGCACATGAAAGTGTCCTTCTGTAGAGATTTACCGAGTGAACAGCTGGCCAAATCACCTAATCTGTGCACCTGAACACCACGGTGAGCCAGCCAGAGTGAGCTATGCTTTGCAAACGAGAAACTGAGCCTGAGAAGCACTTAAGTCACTGCTCACAATCACAGAAGCTGTTCCAAATCTCCCTCAAGTCTGTAAAGTATGATTTTTCTTTCGAGGCCTTCTGCACCAATAACAATGAAAAAAATATCAGAGCTACATCCTCAGTGGGCAGAGTTCCTTTTCAAATATAATTATTCTAAGATAAGCTATTAGCCTTGCAACTATGGTTGCTTTCTAAAGTTTGTCTTCTGGAGAAATAACTGTTGCATCTGTCTTCAAAACTAAACATATTTACATGTTCTTTCTTGGTAACTTTGCTGCAAAAGTAGTAATCACAGATATAAGAAATGAGAAAATTTTGTATTTTTCCCTTTTCAAATCCAGACTAACAGTCCTATTTCTTAAGGATTCACTGTAAGGCTGTGATTTCAAGGAAACCCAGGGAAGTGGAGAGGAGCTATAAAAATGAGGTGGAAAAGGCCAGGCTTGGTGTGTATGTGGGTGTCACTCAGGCCAGTGTTCACCCCAGCACTACCTGGGGAGAACTGTCCTGTGCCCTCAGGAGGTCTGTGCAGCCAGGTGCTCCCACACTCTTCACCCTCAAAATGCCTCAGGCCCCAGTAGGGTCCCCACACTCGGCATTAGGTGTGGCTTCTGCAAATGCTGGCACTGGTGGACCACTAGTGGAGGCACTGGTCTTCCTGCTTCTGGATGGCACACTGGTTCCTGCCATTTTAAACCACCTTTGGCGGGGGAGAGGGGTGGCAATTTCTGAGCATGTGTGAAAATAGCTCTCATGGGCTACACCCAGGCTTGGTGCATGGCACTGGCCTCCAGGGAGTAGTGATCAGGTCTGTGTGCTCAAAAACACAGGAGGCCGCACGTGGCCCTCGCCCCACCTGTCCACTTCTTCCCTGGGCACCTGTCGCCGCTTTCACGCCCTTCCCTCTGGCACCAAAGGGTTCACCCAAGTAAGGTCAAGGGGCCCTGGGGAGGCCACCGCCAGCCCTCCGCTTTTCTACTCCCACTAGGGGCTGGGGCCCGGGGCCTCTCCGTGTTGCCGGGCTCTGCCCAAGGACGCGGGAAGCGACGTCAGGGAGGCCACGCGAGGCGGAGGGCGCGGAAACCCCGCGCTGGGCCGGCGGGGGCCGTTTTGCGTGCCCGGGGCCTGGCGCCCACACTGGGCTGCGCGGGGGCAGCGGGCCCGCCAGGGCGGCGCGGAGAGCGGTGGGCGGCGCGGAGGGCGGTGGGCGCCGGGCCGGCCCCGCAGCGGG